GGATTAAAACTTGTAGAGCTGCTCAATAGCTGTTCCTGCTGTTACAGAAACAGTGGAGGAAGGCATTGTTTGTTTATTTCATGAAATTTATGCACCGGTTGATTGTAAACAAAAAACCCTCAAAGTGGGTCAGACATTGAAAACAACCATTAAACAATTTAAAACAACTATATAAAGCATTCCAAAAAATTAAAATCCAATCAAAGACAGATTAAAACATATCTCAACTTTCTACATGCCTGGGTAGGCTTCCCTAAGCAAAAATGTTTTTATCAGGCACTCCCTTCCATTGGCTCCCAAGACAGACAGATGTGTCAACCAATAAATGTTGTTACCGTATATGCTTTCATGGTTTGCCCCCAAAGTCCTGGGAAATGGGATTTTCCAGGGGCCATGTGTGTTAACTGTGCTTTAAGGGTATGATGTAGATGTGAACACAAAGGGTATCTCATGTTTAACAGCAGAAGAGGTGCAAAGGTGTCAGAAGCCCCGGTCTTTCAGCTGGCTTCATTTGCAAATGAGTCTCAACCTCTTACCTTAATCTGAATACCTCATCACTTAATGTTCTGCTTGGCTGCTGGCACATTGCTCATTTGCTTGAGCATCATGTGACAAATCTTTTATTTATTTTTTAAAAAAGAAATACCGTAGATATTTCTACACACATATGCTTACATTCCATCTATATGTGGAGCACAATCAGTTTTTTAAAAGCTTTGTTTGGAGAGAGATCACTAACAGTCACAATCGGTGTCGATCAGTGTTCACCTTGGTGAAAGGTGAATGCATCAATATCGCTTTGCTTGGGTCTTAAAATAGCTAATCTTTTTTTATTATTACAATAAATAAGGTTGTCCAGCTTATCACTATTTATTTCGGAGAAGGAAAGGGCAGAAAGATTGTTTAAGCATTGTTTTCCTCTCTTCAATAACCCTGTTGGCTCCTTACTTGAATTCTTCAGGTTAATCACAGCACATACCAGGGCCAAATGCATTGTTAATAGTTACAGATTAACCACCAAGGTCAGTGTCTGCAGGATACAAACTGCTATGGCAGAGCAGAAAATGTCAGTGGACCTTAACAGGACATTTTGGACGTGTACCCTTCCCTGCAGTGGAATGCAACTGTAAACTCTATGTCTGTTTGCGCATATCGCTGAGGGCACAGCAGTTACTATCTCCACCAACTTGGTGGAATCCGCCTAACACACATATAGTGTTTCCACAGCCACACAGATTGTCCCCTTGTTATATTTATTGTGTTAACACTTAGGAGCCCAACCAGAAACTATGCCCTCGGGACATGAAACGAAAAGGCAGCTGGTGTCTTAGCTGAATTATAGCAAGGGCCGGCAACCTTTTCGGGCCTGTGGACACATTTGCCATGGGCGCCAGTCACTATCTGTTTGCTGTGCACGTTTCGTAGCATAAAATGGCAGCTGCGAGGGTGTGGCATAATCAAAGATGGCTGCTGCTTCTAAAAGAGCAGAAAAAGAGACAGGAACAAAAACCAGTGTGGGCACTGTCAGGGACTGGCTGGATGACAAGGAGTGGTGGGAGGCACCAGCCAGGGAATGCCCAAGGGAGATCCCGGAGGAGGAAGGCTCAGAGCTCGGGGATTGGTGGTGGGACACTGAGGAGAGGTCGGGGGAGCAGTTTGGGAGGAGGTGCTGGATACCGACGGGACAACAGGTTTAGTGAACAGGAGGAATCTGTGAGAGGGAGCAGTTCAGACTCCAAGGCTGAAGCAAAGGAGGAGGGTTAAGATATTGAATAATCTCTGGGGTCCCCTTTCCTGTTGCGACAAGCTCCCCTCCCCTCTGGTCTCCAAGAACGTGCAGGATCACGAGGAGAGCAGAACAGAAGCCAGAGGTGTGCAGACACAGTTTGAGACTGCTTGGGAGAGGAGCCGCCTTAGCAGGAGTGGAAGACAGGGACCTCCAGTCCTGGCAACTACTCTATAGGAGCAAGACCTACTGGGAAGTGTTGCTGAGCTATTATGCAGTTTACTTGAATAAAGAGCTAACTTCAGTGTCAACTGACTCTGCTGCTTCTTGCTGACCAGCATCTGACTCCAGCCCTGACAAGCATGCACCTTCATGAATGAAAGAAAGGCACTTACACCAGCCCCTGCCACACTCACTCTGAGAGTCTCCTCCACTGTTTGGATGGAAGGTGGGTGTCCAATCCCTGGAATGAAATGAAATGTGGGATTATTTAAGGGGCCATGTTCAATGTAGGGAAGGCCAAGCCAACACAAACAAGAGATGAGCAGGAAAAGCAAATCAGCTATTGCGTATCACGTTTTTTTAAAGGATATTTACTGAGACTTCACATGGGTCATAGCAAGTACTAGTGGGCAGACTGGTACCTGCAGCTGCTGGTCTGGTAACTGGATACAGCAGACTATCAAGGCACAACAGATGGTACTGGACAGCATCAACATCCCAACTGCTCAGCCACCCAGCGTTTCCAGTGCTGTTAAAGTTGCTGATGACATCCAGCATATCTTATCTATACATATAATAAAATGTAAGAGTGTTGTCACGCTGCAGTTCACTTGGTGACAGATGGATGGTACTGCAAACTACAGCATGTTGAGGGGTTGTGGGTGGGTGACCGAGGTGGGAGACAGCCAAAAGAGGCTATGGTTCTGCTCCCCTGGCTCCTCTGCTTGCTAGGGGTCCCAGGATCCAGACCCCCAGGCTGACTGGCTCTGCTGCCGGCCACCTTCTTCCTCCTTGGTCAGCTTGGGGATCCACTGCTTCTGCTGCTGCCAATTTGGATGAAGAATTGGGTTTGCAGAAGGAGCAGTGCAAGGCGGAGGAAGCCATGGCTTGGGATGAAGATTCAGTCTGGATAAGGCAGTGGCAGATTTACAGGCCAGCCAGCTGGCCACCACTTCTGGCTTCCGTCCTGAATTTCAATGGTACTACAGTCAGGAGGACTAATGCTGTGTGAAAAATGGACTCGACACATTTTTCACTTGCGTATTATAGTGCTTTTTTATTTTCTTGTTTAAAATATCAAAATTACAAATGCAAAGTATAATTTGGTTATGATTTCCTATACATAGTTTGTGACTTTCTATAGTTTTTATTTTTAGTGAATAAAGAGATTTACTTTCATTATATTTTGTATAAAGTAGTTTATATTACAGTATTACAAGAGGGAGGTATCACATGCTTGAGGGAACCTGGAGATTTGCAGAAGTACTAAACCACCAACCCAACCCAACCTTACAGGAATCCATCTCACAAAAGCCGCTCATCATCTTGCAAGTCTTCTTCGCATTTTAGCTGTGCTCTCCCATCACCTAGTCCTGTGCAGATCTTGTCTGGCTGCTCATCTGCCTTTCAGCAGGAAGTGCTAAACTAATGAGTGCCAAGGAATTTTCCAGTGCTGTCTCTAAAAACTTCCAGTGAGTAAGACTGCCCAACCAGGTTGTTCCACCAATTTCTCAGACAGGAAGCTTCTTCTCATGCCCAAGTCGAATCCATCTTCCCTGCACTTCAGCTCATTGTTCTGTGATTTTTGTTAGATTTCCTAAGTGGTGTTATAGGAAGGACAGAGAACCTGCAAAGACCAAAGGCTATAGTCAAGTCAGAGTTGAGGGACCCTTGACAGAGTGAAGTTTGGTAGGCTCAGTTCTTCATTAGCTCCACCTCATCTAGTGCAGGTTTAGTGCAACAGCAGGCAACAAGGAAATCATCATTTAAACTTTCCCACTACCCAAGCCAGGTACAGTGATGGTGTGATATATAAATTTGAAGTCTTAATCCAGAATTTCATGGTTAATGAGCCAAGGGATTCCCTTCTCACCAAACATTTAATTGAATGTATTAATTCTGGCCCACTAACACCTACCCTAAAAAAAGGCAGTGAAAACAAGACCACGGTTCCAAAAGACCCACAAGCAGACTGGGGTGAGCAAGGGCAATTCTATAATTGCGGAGCTGCCAACAAGAATAACTTTTTATGCATGCCTGCAGTCTGAATATGTTGCATGAGTAATGTTACCAACATGCTCACAGTGCATTCCAAAGAGCAAATGTAGCAAGCTGATTAGCGTGTTGGACCTGGAGACATAAATCCTTGGTGACCTTGGGCCAGTCACCTTCTCTCAGCGAAGCCTACTTCACAGGGATGTTGTGAGGGGGCGAAATGTGGAGGAGACGTATGCATAGATGCCACGGAGGTCCTTGGGCTAAGGAAGTAGGTTATGGAGTAAATCAAATCCTATACATGTCTATTCAGAAGTCCCATTAAGTTCAATGGAGCTTAATTCCAGGAAAGTGTATAGGCTACAAGTCCATACACTTACCTGGAACTGAATTCCATTGAACACAGCACAGACTTGCTTCAGAATAGAAATGTATATGATTAGGACTGCATTATGAACCACAGAGAGAGAAAGAGGAAGTAGCTTCTCAGGTAAATTCCACCCCCAAGCTGTTTATAGAGCTTTTATGAAGGAAGTTGTGGATTGCGCCCAGAAGACAACAGGGAAGCACGACAAGTGTTACAATGTGTGGATTTATTGCCCTTCCCCATCACAACGGCATAGAAAAGAAACAGTCTCGCAGTTTATTAGACAATATTTATTATTAAAATATTGTTATACCAAGTGGAATGCTACAGCAATCTCGGTATAGGGCGGCATAATAAAACGGTCAGGTTTACGTTTAAATACTTAAGATAACTTAAAATGCACCCAAAATAAAGGGAAAAAAACACCCCTCACTGTCTTTGGCAGAAAAAAGTTCACAGCACAAAAATACTTAAAACAGGAATACCAATATTAATGCAAAATATATTAAGCTGTGTATCTTTCTCTCATAACTTTTTTGCTTTGTTTTTTTTTTTACTTTGTAAACAATGCACGATAACTGAACACCTTTTTACATACTTATATGAAGGGGGATTTTTTTATTTAAAAAAAAATGCAGTTGTCCAGCAAATGCACACGTTTAGCAGAGACAAAGGTGTGTGAAGGCAGAATCAAGAAAGCACCAAGGTTTGGTGAATATTGCAACTGACTACTGCCAGAAGCCAGCTGTCAGTAGGCAGGGGAGTGTAAAAGGCTCCTGCGTTGTACTGCAGATTCTGGAGTGGTTCTAGAGAAATGATATACCAGTAATCAGTCCTTGTCCAGAACTTTTTCTTAAAGGCACATTCGTGACACAAAGAATCTGCATATTCACTCGCATCATTCCCACAAATGCCCTTTTTCTCTTTTAGAAAACTACTACTAGCTGCTGGCCACATTCTCCACTTCATAAACACACAAGGCTCCAAGCACAAACCCCCACACACATACCGCACCATACTTCCCTCGCTCTCTTGAAATAGTTCCAATTCATTTCTAAATGATTTTCGCCTGCAAATCAGCATCGCTCAGATCAGTGAGAGGCCCAAACCATGATCCTGCTTTCAACCACATGACATTCTCTGCTGATGGGAATGGCACCAGTTTTATACAAACTGGGGATCAGGGCCATTCATCCCAATACAGCTGTGCTGATCTATACCACATGGGATGCCTCTGCCTTAAAAAAAAGAAGAAGACAACAGCTTGGAAACAGCAATCCAGGAACAGAAGCACTTGGCTTGTGGCTGCTGTTCAAACAAAGAGCAGGGAAATTCCAGTCTGAAGCATCATGGGAAATTGCTTCAAAGGAAATGGAATCTGAAGGACTCTGAAGGCGGATATTTAACTCCGGACAAACAGGATATGAAATGGAGGAAAAGAAAAAGCAAACACTGAAGAAATTCTGAAAACAAAACAAGGAGTGGGGGAAAAACTTGTTTAAGTGATGTGGAGCAAAGAGAGATCAAGCAGATCCACTGCAGATATCATAAAGGGGACAGGAAGATCCAAACAGAGGGGCGGTGGCTGAAATGTTGATTACTATTTGGGCTTGTTCTTATATAAGTTATTTACAAAAATAAAGACAGAGATGGGACCCATCTCCTCTATTCCTCTTTCCCCAGTACCTGTGACAGGCCATGTGCTATCCCCCAGGCAATGGGAACACACTGCTAGCAATCCCCAGTATCGGCAGCAGTCTTTCTGCCTGGGAGCTGAAAAGTGGACGGGGTGGGGGGGAGTGGGGAGGGGAGAAGGTGCAAGGAATTAGTTCTAGCCACACCAAGCACCAGACAAACACTCTTTGCTTACAACAGCTTACACTTCAGGTCCAGGTACCTGCCAGGAGCCCAGTGATTCAGGAGTATCAACCCGTTTGGTGCCAAACCCCAGCATGCCCCCCCCCCCCCCGCTGCTGCCCTGCACTCTGTTGGGCCATATCCAGGCAGCACGAGAGTCTAACCTGGCTTCGCCGTTTGCCTTCCCATCTCTTGGGAACGCCAGTGGCTAAGAAAGTCATGGAGCAGTTGCTTCTGTGCAAGGACTGGCCTCAATTGATGGTGCTGCAGCTGCTGCTGCTCAGTCCACTGGTGGAAGGGAGAGACCTGCCTGGGCAACCGTGAATGCTCACAACCCAAACGGAGAGGCATGCTGCCGCCACAGCTTTGTGCCTGAAAAAATCAAAGGATCGGCGTGGGGTTTTCCTTCAAGTCCTTCTTGAAAAGTCTTTGCCCTGCACGCCGCACGCCATCCTAATTCTCTGAAGGCTTCCTTCGGTCCTTGCTCTCTTGGTTTGTTACCGTCCCCTGATAAGGCAGCAATCTGCTAAGGAGTGGCAAGATCTGGTCATGTGCTTGGAGGATTCCCACTCCCCAGTTCCTCAGATGAGAATCTCCACCATGTCCGACAAGTCCACGGCTTTAGCAGCTGGCAAAATCTCTGCGAGGAAAAAGAAATACAGCCCATGTTATAATGCAAAGTGCTTTGCGGAGGAGTGCAACGCTTTGCAAGGCAGCAGTGCAAACCATCAATGACCTCAGTGTGTCTTCTGTAGTCGAACCTTTTATCCTAAGGACAGAAACTAAGGGGGTGAGGGAGGCTCAAGAGCCATCTATGGAAAAATAACTTAGCAAACAGGCAGCCCGCTGGGGGAAAAAACTTGATGGGCCAAGGCACTAAAACCTGCAGCGCTTGCCTCATGCTAATGAAACACATGTCACATTGACCTAACCATGGGCATCTGTCATTCATTCAACCCACATGTTGGAGGAGGCTGATCAAATCCAGCTCCCAGTATGAAGCTGATGCATGCCTAGGCACCTTCTCTTTGTAGGTTCAAGGCAGGGGATAAATATCTTGGGTTCACAGCTCCGAGTGTGGAAAGAGCCCCCCCAAAACAGGTAGAGGTAAGTACCATCATCTCTGGAGGGTGGGATGGGTGGAGAGTAGGAGAAGGAAGACACTCAAGATTTCGCCTTCCTGTCTTGAATCCTCCTTCAGAACTTTTCCTCTCTGCGCCAAGCTATTTCAACAATGGGAAGTTGGGGACATCTGGGCTTTATTGTGGAAAAGGGTCTCTAAGAGACTACTAAGGAATTTAGGGAGCTTTAATCAATGCAGCCTTTCCGCATAAGCCTTTGTTTAATCTCCCCTCTCTCCCCCCCTCCAAACACACTGCCCCCCCACCACTTTCTGCTCCACCTGCTCCTAGAGGATAATCCTGTACCGCATTGCACGAAACTCATGATTAGTCACTATGGCAGGAATCTGGATCCTGGCATTTAGCCTGCTGAAAGCAGCTCTGTGTTCACCTCTTAGTTATGTGAACCTTGCCTGGCATCCCTGGTGGGGGGTGGGGAGGCAGTTCACAGGGTTTACTGCAAGCACAGCTATTAGCAGAGCCCATTAGGAGATTGGCAGGCACTGGGGTAGCCTCACAGCCGCACTCCGTAGGTTAGAGCAACCGCTGGCACTCACCTAGGGAATTTGCTGCACTACCACTGCTGGTGCTGCTTTCAGGCTGGGGTTCATCACACTGAGTCCCCTCGGGTAAGCCTTCTGTCTGCGTACTCCCATCTTTGCTGCCGTGTTTGGCATGGAAGGCATGAGGGACACAAGCTGATGTGGCGGCTGCTTCTGCTGAGGCTTTGGGTGCTGGAGGAAGGAGAAAAGGAGCCCCATTTAGATGAGCAAACACAATAGAAGTAAGAAGAGGTTTGCAAAATTTGAGGAGCTTTCCAAGAATAAGCCCTTGTGTGTGTTTTGGGGTTCCTAGAACTGTATGCTAATACCCTCTTCTGCATTTTATCCAGAACATGAGCATCCACAAGTGTCCAAGCTTTGCTTCCTGAAACGGACTCCTAAGCAGCACAATAACAAGTGGGTGCTAAAGAATGCCGATTCCATATAAAATATAGCTACCATCAAGTGTTTCATGGGAAGCTTAACAGGAGCTAGTAGAAAAAGCACCCTTGTATACATTCTAGATATAGACTCCCTCCCTTTGTCTAGCATCAAGCAAAGCCTCTATTACCTGGACTCCCTCGGGAACCACTTTCGCTGACAGAGGCACCTGGCCAATACTGGGTACCAGAAGCGGCAAAGATGGCGGGCACAGATTTGGCAGGCCGCAGGGAGCCCTGGTTAGCCTTGCTAGGGTCCTTGCGAGAGCGCTGCTGTAAGACTTTGATGACAGCATCCTTCTCGAGTATTTGAGCATGAAGTACTTTTAACCTGGCAAGTGAGAGGGGGGAAACATAATGTGAGGAAAAAGGCGGGGTGACATCAGAATATGCAGGAAGCATTCTTTTCGAAGCATCTGAAGATGAACCCTGTGGGATCAGACCAAAGGAAGCCAATCTATTTCAGCATCCTGGTCCATCCAGAGGCCTATGGAAAATTCAGAAGCAGGACAGGTGCTCTAAACCCTGCTGTTGTATTTTGTGGTTCTTGTTTTTAATCTGCAAGCTACCTTGAAAGGCAGGGTATAAATATATATATGATAATAATTGTTTCCCCAGCAACTGACATTCTGAGGCATACAGATCCTGAAAGTAGCACGCAGCCATTAGCACTCCTAACAATGGAGAAGAACATAAAAAGATCTCTCCTGGATCAGACCAGAAGCCTTTCTAGGCCTTCGGACTCTAGTTCTCCTGCAGCTCAATGGAGATTTCCCTCCAACCCCTGTCTCTGTTTTCCTGCTGTTAACTAGTTAAGGGACTTCTCAGAGGCACCAGGAGCACAAGCTTCCCTCTGGTATGTTTTTGCAGGATGTAAACAAAGAAGCCATTTTTTCAAGGCATGCAGTGCGCCAAGGGGACCAATCATTCCCTTTGTGTTGGGGCCAGAGCAGAGGACAAGTGACCCTGTATGCCATCTAACACAGGACTAACCTGTTCTCCATCTCCTGATGTTTGTGGTTTGCCAGCAGCAGGTCCTCATCAAAGCTGCTGTTGGGCGAGTGGCGTGGAGAGTGGTTGATGATGGTGGTGTCCCGCTGTGCAGCCGCTGTGGCAGCGGCATCCATGGCAAACTGCCTCATGGTGCACTCTTCCAGGTACTTTTGCTCCCACTTGGTCATATCAGCCTCCAGGGCCAAGATCTTCTCTTCTCTTTCTCTCAGCTGCTCAGAGAGCACGTGGGGGTTCAGCTCGGGTGATGCTCCACTAGGGGCTCCCATCTGTCTCTAGATCATCAGTGAGGAAGAGAGGCCCAAGTGAGATTGCATTCTGGGCTACTGGTGGAAACAGCCTATTAACACACCTACAATAATGTGCTTGCTGTTGGGAATGACCCAGAATTAACAGTGCAAACCCAAATGTGTCCACTCAGAAGTTCCATTCACACCACTGGGATTTATTTCCAGGTTATTGTGTATACAACTGTAACCCAAACAACTTTTGAGAATTTGGGCACTTTTAGTTTTAAAGGAATCCACATCTATTAATCGTATTATTTGTAATATTAATCTCTTCAGGATGTGGCTCCAAATTTGCCACCTGAGGCTTCAGGACCCCCAATGTTATTGGGTTGGAGATGCCACTGTTCTAATATTTTATAAGCATTTCCTTTCAAGTTACGGAAAAGTGAAATTGATGGGCATCTTTCAAGGGGAAGAAATAGGATTGCAACTCGGCCTTCCTTCTCACCTGCTGAGCCCGCAGCATCTTCAGCTCCTGCTCCAACCGGGTGCGGAGACGCAGTTCCAGCTGCTCGCGTTTTTCGCAGGCAGCTTGGAGCTGACCCAGTGCCTGCTGCAGCCTCTCCACTTTCTCCACATACGCCCGTTTCTTCCTCAGCTCGTCCTCTGTTTTGGCGGCCCGAGCCTGGGCACTGCTCAGAGCCTGTTCCAGCAGCTCTGCCCGCCGGCGTTGGTCATCGTTCGCGCTGTGCAGCCGTGCAACCTCCTGCTCTAGCTTCTCCCTTTCCTGCTGGTGCTCATAATCTGGGAGGAAGCATGAGGAAAAGGCAAGGTCGTTACAACCAATCCATCATTTGGGATTGGGGGGGGGGGGGGAACACAGCCAAAAGCCAACCACACAGTATCAACCAATAACTTTTAGCCACTACAAACTAAAGCAGCCATTCAGCAGGTCATGGGGAGAGAAATGGGTGTTGCCTCCATTCTTAGTAGCCATTGACCTTTAGCTTGTTTAATTATTCCATGGGGTTGTGGGGGGTGGAGGGAGGTTACATTGGGCCTGTGCCCAGGAAGCTGACTGACACCATGGGGCAGGGGAGTGTACCAATTTGTGCCAAGATGCTCTCTCTTATACTATGGATCCTAGGTATCAATGCCCTGATTTAGGTGTTCCCACACTGTTCGTTTTCCATGATATGATCATGATGGGGGCACCATGCACATTTCCCACAATGAACAAAAAGAAAAACCTGTGGGAACTTGGCACAGTCATCTGAAAAGCTTCAGTTATTGTTATAATTAACTGTATTTGTAGTCGCTTTCCTCACAAAAGCGAATTGCACGAAAACCAATGTATATACATGCCTAAAATAAATACTACTTAAGTGTTTGCAGTTTTATACCGTGCATGTCTGGACTGGCTACAGAGCTGCCTCCCTCATACCAGGAACCAGGAGGAACAGAGCTCTGGCAGTTCCTGCATTGGTTCTGGAGATCCCTTCCCCTCACTCTCATAACTCTGAGCAAGGGAGCTTCTTCCCAGGCCACAAGAAGTGGGGTTGATATAAAGCTGAATCAATACAAGCAAAGGACTGGGGCTTGGTCCATAATTTAGTTTCAACAATGAAGAGCCACTAACAAAGAGGCCATTGGGGTATATCCCTTTTTACTGCAGCCCTAACAAACTTATGAGGGAGTAAGTTATTTCTGAGTCATTGTGCACAGGGGATCTTGCTTAAGAATATCAGTTTTACATTTACAAGGCCAGGAAGAAAGATCTGCTTCTGAGAGGGAGCAGGAGAAATCTTCAAGGACTGAAGGCATTTCCTTAAGTTGGATATTGAAAACTTAAGAACAAGTACTATCCCCATCCATTGGCAACTATCTCTCCTTTTTCAAAAAATTCAGAACAATAGCAGGAGAGAAGGAGAGAGAGGGAGAGGGAGAGAGAGAATGAACAAGTTGGGCCCAGGACTCTCAACAGAGGGAGTGTAGCTTGTGTGCTGGAACAGCCGTAACAGCCACTGGAATGCAAAGAATCCAGGTCACACTGATGGCTGTGGTGATTAATGCCTCTAGTTTAAGTGCCAAGAACAGCTTAGCGCTCTCTGGGGAATGGCAAAAAGCTTCCAAGAGAGGATACGCCTCCTCTTCAATCTTAAAGGAACCTTTACTTTTCCTCCCTTCCCAACCCATTCACAGGAAAGCATCAGGAATAAGGACCACAGTGTTAAAAAACAAACAAACCCAGCCCAACTAGGTTAGAGCTACAGTCACAACAGCAGAAGCCTTTTGAAGAGACTTACTTTGGGCGATAAGTTTTGCCATAGTCCCTTGGTTCCCTTCTTGGTTTTCCTGTGCCCGGCTGGCCAGCTGCTTGTTTGCAGATTCCAGCCTCTCTGTGGCAAAATGAAAGAAAATAAATAAATCAGGATTTAATTTATTTCATACAGAGGTTCATGGAGTAATAGGAAGGAGTGGTATAACCTGTCAAGTGATGGCAGTCTGTTACCAATATGTGGTCCTCCAGTTGCTGTTGGACTCCAACTCCTATCAGTCCCAGGAAGCATGGCCAATGGTCAGGAAATATGGGAATTGTAGTCCAACAGCAATCTGAAGGGCCACAAGTTTCCCATTCCTGTTACAGACAGTAATGGCAGGGTTGCATGGCTACTAGCAATGACGCTTTGATGGATCAGAAAATCTTTGTTATATATATTTAAAGTAGAATCAACACTCTTACGCGACGGTCACCTCCAGACTGGATTATTGTAACTCGCTCTACGTGGGGCTGCCCTTGAGACTGACCCAGAAACTCCAGCGGGTGCAGAATGCCGCGGCGAGACTCCTTATGGGGTCTTCGCTGCGAGATCACATTCATCCGGTACTATACCAGCTGCACTGGCTCCCGGTGGAGTACAGGATCAGGTTTAAGGTGCTGGTTTTAACCTTTAAAGCCCTATACGGCCTAGGACCCTCGTACCTACGGGACCGCCTCCTGGTATGCCCCACAGAGGAACCTACGGTCTGCAAATAAAAACATCCTGAAGGTCCCAGGCCTCAGAGAGGTTAGGCTGGCCTCAACTAGAGCCAGGGCTTTCTCGGCTGCGGCTCCAATCTGGTGGAACGCTCTGTCACAAGAGACTAGGGCCCTGCGGGACCTGACATCTTTCCGCAAGGCCTGCAAGACAGAGTTGTTCCACCAGGCCTTTGGTCAGGGCCCAGCCTGACTCCCTCCTCTGGCAACCTGCACAGAACTTTGCTTAACGGTTGCCATTAATTTGATTTTAATTAATTTTTATAATGAAATGTTTTAGAATGTTGGATTATTTGATTGTTTGATTATTTGTTTGTTGTTAGCCGCCCTGAGCCTGGCTTTGGCTGGGGAGGGCGGGATATAAATAAAATTTATTATTATTATTATTATTATTACCACCACATTTTTTGCTTTGTTAGGTTTCTTTATTATATTTTTCTTCTAGTGCCAGGGTATAGAAACTTAGGGGGAGATATCCAACATTAATTATACTAAGAGCATGCCCACAGAAATATATTGATAAGTAATGCAAGTCCATTTATTTCAGGAGGTCTACTCCAGAGCATGATTAATGTGTGATATTACCCAAGGTATTTAATTTTTATTATTATGTGGCTTCCAGGGTCTGCCAAGCTAAACAATGCAGGTTGGAAAGTTTTCCAAACAATGGTTTGGAGGACTGGATAAGCCATGGGCTTGCACGCTCCTCAGCTCTCATGTGCACAGCTTCCCTCTTTATTGTCAGCTCATAGCTAAACAGATTCCCATAGGCATACACACTGCAAAATCACAACTGGGAGCCCACAATTTAACAGACAAGATAGAGAAGTCACATGCAAGAGGAGGAGGAAATGCATAAGTCTGTAGCTCATTCACAATTATATGAATAGAGTCAGGGCCTCTGGTGAGCAGACATGCAATTCGGCTGCCTGCCTAAGGAGTTTGCTTTAAAGCAGGAGAGGCTAAACTGCGACACTCCAGATATTGCCAGACTCTGAAGTTTTATCAGTATCAGTCAGCATGGGCAATGGACAGGAATGATGGGAGTTGTAGTATAACACCTGAAGGTCCACAGATTCCCCCATCTCTATTTTAAAGGTATACAGGATTGGAAGCTTCAGTCATGCATGCATCTTTCTTATAACAAAAATCTCCTCTCCACAGATATTGGGACCAAGTATACTAGGCCATCTCTGTCATCTTACCTTTCAGATCTCGGTTGAAGTCCTGCAACCGCCGCATCTCTCCATCCTTCTTGTTCCTCATTGCCTTCTCCAATGCCTCTCTCTTAGAAGATGCCTTCATTAGGTTTTCATAGTCTTCTGAAATTCGCTGAATCTCTGTTTCCAGCTAAAGAAGACAGCAAAGAGACTTTAGTTAAAATGAATAGTCTGTATGAGAAGATATATGAATGCCCCTTAGTGATAACTGCTCAAGATATGTACTTTGCATACTGAATGGGAATATAGACAACCATCTCTTAATATCTGGAAGATAAATCAAACAAGCCAGTGTGCAATTCAGATTTCCTAAAATGCCTGTGCCCCATGCTCTGCTGCTTTGCTCAGCTATTTAGCATAAGCTGGGGCTTGAGCTCTCAGCAGTTAACAGGGCTTGGCGCTTATTCTGAAAACAAGCAATAAAATTGACCCTATCACCCTCCCTCTGTTTCTCCCAGAGAGGCTATCAGTGCTAGACAAATCCAAATGGTGCTTGTATATTCTGCACTCTTTCCTTTTCTCTTCCCTCACCCCCACCCCAGTACCAGCTGGCAGGGTCCTGACATCCAATTATGTGTTCCATTTTTACCCCTTTCCTTTGCAGGCTTGGCACATTCCCTCTGCATCCCCACCTCTGCAGCCCTGGCACGTGCCCCTTACAGTCCCCAAATAACTCGCTAGTTCAAAAGGGAGCAGTCTCACCCTTGGCTGAAGCTGGGACACAACAGGCCTCTCCTTGTGCGCCTTTGCACAAAAGGCTTTCTGTGACTCGCCTTAGTGCAGACCCCAACAGGGAGGGCTTGATAGGGAGAGGGCACAACTGCTAATAGAGGAAGTGAATGGACTCTTTTCTATGCACTCAACAACTGCTGCAGCTTAAGACCTGTTGTGTGCTGTGGTGCTTGTGCTTCACAGCTGCCTAATGGGGAGGGGGGGTGATTAAACAAAATTAAGGGAGATGTATTTTCATGACAGCTGTTCTGGGGGACAAAAGACAAGAGTCAAAGGATTTCAGGAAATGCTCCTGAAGACAAGGCTGGGGTTGTGAGGCATTTTCTAGGGAGCATCAGGACTGCTCCCAGCCACAATGGCTGGTTCATAATGGCCTGGATATACACTTTCACAACAGCATACCCTCCAACATTTCTCTGATGAAAATAGGGATGTCCCATTCCATAATAACTTTACTATTTATACCCCAGACACTCTTACTGGGTTGCCCAGCCACTCTGGGTGGCTTTCAACATATATAAAAACAACAAAACATTAAAAAAAAACTTCCCTATGCAGGATTGCCTTCAGACAGCAATGAAAATAAGGACATCCTACCATACCCTCCAACATTTCTCCAATGAAAATAGGGACGTCCTAAGGAAAAGCAGGACATTCTTGGATCAAATCAGAAACCGGAACGGCTTCTCTAAATCAGGGACATCCCTGGAAAACAGGGACACTTGGAGGGTCTGCTACATCAAGGGGACCAGTCTGAGGCCCACACTCCCTTTTGGGAAACCTTTGAGAGCCACATGCCTTTGATGGCAGGACCAGAGTCAAAACTGGGCTAAGCAACAAATGTAAATTTTAGCTTTGTACAGTAGGCTAGAAACACACCAATGGTTCTATCATGCATCCATGCAAGCAAGCAAGTAAGCAGGATGCATTATCAGAGTTCCAAGGAACATTCCAACCAAGCAAAAACACCTGGGGGGTGTACAGCAGGACTAGTAAAGTGTATAAACTGGGAGAGTTCCAAGGGCCACATGTGGCCCCCCCCGGCCCACACTTATGGGCCAGAGCTTGTTGACATGACTACCTTCCTTAAAAACTGAGCCAGGTCTCTGCATCTAGTCCTAAAATCATACTGGGAGATACAAGCTAGCTCTATAGCTCTATTGGGGAAGAGAAACACTAAAAAAAAATCCAGCATTAACATTCCTGGTTCTTTCAACAGAGTATGCAAAGAAAGCAACTTTAGCTGTGAAGCTTCCCTACAGTTTAAAAGCAACCCTCCTACCATAGCTCCCCTACAAAAACTGGTGCCCTCCAGACCTTCTTTGCTTCAATTTTGCATACTGAGTATGTATGTTGAGGATATAAAATTATTCCATTGGTTTTAGGCTTCAAAGAAATTATAAATTGTGGACAAAAACCTATGCTTATGCTCTGTAATTTTATGTGATATATTGTCCCCTTTCCTATAGCTTCTGCTTGGATTTTTTTAATAAATAAAATATCCAGCATCCTGAGGTGCTTCTTCTCTCTTTTTTCTGGTTTGCTACAGTTCCCAGCATCCTCAGCCAGCCTGGCTGATGGTAATAGATGCTGCACCTCTGGGAGGAGCCATGGTGGGGAAGGCATGCTGGCAGTCTTGCTACCAGCTATGTCAACTTAGAAGAGAGGCAGTCAAGAAGTGGCTTTAAGGAATCCATTTCTTACGTCAAACAATGGATTTAACCTCTAGAACAGCGGCTGTGACTCTTTCTCAGTCACATTCCCTCATGGGCAACCTCCCAGAGGCTACAGGTCAGTGGTGAGTAGGGCCAGAGACAATAGTGGGTGGAGCAAAGAATGCAATTCTTACCTTTGTATAGTGGGCTACATTCCACTCATACATGACCAGAGGCTTCCACAAACACCCCCATCCTCCTCTCCACCCTCCATCCAGACAAGCAAGCAGCAGCATCACTACTCAAGGCTACATTCCAGCTAAGCAAATACACCAGATGAGAGAGCACCACAGACCCGGTGAACGGTACAGCCAGACAACACTTGGAAGACCAAGATGGCCACATCAGACCCTGCCCCTTGGGCCGGACGTTCCTCACCCCAGCTCTTGCACCTTGAGGAGCAATTGTCAGGCATGGAGTATCTTGCCTGGAAAAGCTGCAACCCATAAGGGGGTCTGCATCTCTTGCAAGTGCTTTGGGTTGAGTGAGCTCCTCAGAAAACAACAGCTACTATGCCTGCTCTTTTACCTTCTGTATGCAGCTGGCTTTTTCGCCGTAGTTTTCCACTTCCCTCCGCAGCATCTCGTTTTCCCTGCGGAGCTTCTCGTTCTCTCTCAGCAACGTCTCGTTGTCCATCAACACGGCTTTCATTTGGGACAAGTGGCTACTGGCAGAAGCAGCCTGGGCTGACATAAGAGCCTCCATCCCAGCAGGAGTGAGAGACCCCAGAGGACTATGGCACAGGGCAGCCTGTTGGTGGGGCAGGTAAGCTTGGGGCATCTGGGCCTGCATCACTCTATAAAGAAAGCAGAGATGAAGGAATTAAAGGCAAGCTCTTTGGGCAAGAAGGCCTGAACACTGATTTTAGCAGCAGTACTGTGGAAACCCTGTTTCCAAGCAGGTACCTGATGCACTCAAATGAACAGCCCAAAATACTAGGCCTCAAGGATATGGCAACTTGAACTTATTGCTTTAAAACCTAATGGTACAGGGACTTTTCACATTGACTTTTCACTAACAGTATAATCCTATACATGTTCAGTCAGCGAAAAATCCATGAGGCTTACTCCCAAGCTCAGCAATTCAACTAAATTCTTGCTAACACAATGGGATTTCCACCCGCCTTCCTGTGTGCACCCTGAACCATCATCCTGTCTGCACCCTGGAGGAGAACTTTCCAATTCACAAGGAGAAATGTCACAATACCGCTACACTGAATACCACTCCAAGGGTCTGGGGAATCAAGCCAGATTGTTTTAGACTCCTATTGTATTCCTTCATAAATTACTCTTCCCACTCCCCCACCCAGGGTTATAGGAGGCACATCAGTGAATTATTATAGGCAGAAAAGATTCTTGAATACCTCCCAATTTATTTTTTGAGAAAGACACAGCCCCTATTTCATAAGACATGGACTCCATGGCATCAGTCAGTGCCAACCACTGATTTAAAAAATGTAACTTTTCACTGGCCAAGTTTGACTGCGAAGGAAAGTGAGGGTCAATCAGAATAGTTAAGAGGAGGATAAGAACCGGGGTAAAGAGGAGTCTATGTTTAAAGCCATAATATTTTCGCAAGCATTGCATCCTTACAAGCTACTCCTTCCCAGACTCCCTGTGTTTGTAGAGCAAACATTATCTCACTCATCATTTGGCACATGTTTAAAACACAGAGGAGTACAGAATTGTGTTGAAAGAAGCAGCCACTCACCACAAACTTTTACAGCTCCTGGCGTTAAAGAAACCAGTATTTTGATTCACAATGGAATATATATTGCACAATCCATAAAGGAGAATGTGCCAGTTTGAAAAATTTGTATACATTAAGATTAATTTATTATTCTGCAGATTTGATTGATAATTCTGTGGCAGCTAAGATTACTACTGAAGTTACTTGTACCTGGATGCTAAATGCATTTACTTAGGCTACAATCCTAAACACGTTAGAGGAAAGCCCACTGGCCAGAGTAAATATGCATAATATCGTGTTGTCAGAGAAGTAAGCCAATTTACGTCAATGGGTGAGCATCCATTGTGATGGTATATACCTATGGTTACTCAAAAGCAAGCCCCATTGAGTCCTCTCCATAATTATTTTGAAGTGTGTAGAGGACTGCAGCTTAATCTGGGTATGTTCAAATGGCCAATAAAAACTAATTTTGTGAACTTGTTTAAATGCTCGTTATCTAGGTGCAATAATCAAGTATGGCCTGAGAATATGAAATGGGCAATTTAGTAAATCTAGAAGAATCCATGATATGTACAAGCCTGACTTTTTTTTTTTAAAAAAAGAGGTTGCTCACAACTCAAACATCTGCAGAAGGACAGCTTGAAATTCTTAGAATTCAAATGACCACTTTCCTGGTGCCTGAATGGGAAGGTGTTGTCCAAGAATATATGATTTCATCTGACTGAGGCTTATTCAGACATTCTTGTGAAGTGATCTTGGAGCAAGCAAGAATAAATGCACCTTCCTCTCAGCATGTAGCCACCACCCTCTCCTTTTGTTCCCCTGGAAAGAGGCTTATTTCCTGTCTCCAACATTATCTCTTCCTGTCAGCATTCACTACCATTTGCCTCACAGAAAGCAAGCCGTGGTTCTGTTCCCAGTCTCCACCCCATGCTTCTATAAAGGGGCTGCTTTAGCCAGCAAGTCATAAACTGTGGCAGGCAACTGTGAAGTCAGCTATAAACGTCCTAAGACATCAGTAGAAATAGAATATTCCTGAGCAAGTAAGTCTTTCATATGACAACTTCAGAATGATGTACAATGCCGAAGATCAACCTTCAGCATACTCATATAGTATGGCAGTGCAACTCACATTCTTGGAAGGCATGTTAATGAGATAGGATAAGTGCCCCATTTTCATTTTTTTTCTTTTCCAATTTTTTAAAATTGATTTTCCAAAATATTTTTTAAACAGATTAACAAACAAACATAAATCTCAACCATATTTAAACCAAACTTAGTAACATTGTCAAGTGACTTCCTCGTATCCCCCTGGTTGAATTTCAGTGTATATCATTTTAACGGTTTTCCAAAACTAGTCCCCCATTTTCAAGGCAGGGCAGACTTTGGTCACCTTGGTTCCACCTCTGAAAACACTCATCACTTACCACCCTCTAACCAGAAAAGGTTTTGCAAAGAACCACATGCAGTTTCTGCTAAGCAGAACATTGTTGCTCTCCTTTCCCACCTTGCTTACATGTGTCCTAGATTTAATCTTGCATATGCCATCTTCCTAAATATGAAGCTGTACATGGTACAGGAAGAAAAGCAACTCTTTGACTCCTCCCCATCATTTTGTGCATGACTTGATTGGCTAATGGTGAAGCCCTGACCCGCCCTATCCCAAAACAAAGCCATGTGAACTTTGAGCCTTTTCACTTAGTTGCTTCATAGCTGAGGCTAAAAGTCAATGAAGAAACCCTCTTCTCTTTTGTAGGGTGCTTCGTTCCTTCAAATATTTCTATGCAACCTGCTGCTTCTTTGCTTTCCTGGGAAAATGAGCATCTTCAGGCAAATGTCCATCTCTTTTTGCTTTGCTACCTTTCTACATTCACTAGTACCTCCTTCCAAAGTTCAGTTTATAGGGTGGTATATAAATTCAATCAATCAAATCAGAACCAAACATTCAAGCCCACAAAGGAAGGTGGTTTTCACAATTAAAGGTAAATATGGAAAAACAACAGCAATGGAAGCTAGTTTATACCTCTCAAGCTGATCAGGTACACAAATTTTTGAGTCTGTTATCTCCCATCTACCACATCCCACTTCCATTCATTACATTTCAAAATCACTTCCATTCTTGGAAAAAGGGAAGGTACTTTCCAACCAAAGGAACCGGAACAACCATGCAAAGCAACTTATCAGTTCTCCTCAAGCACCTTCCGAACACTTGCCAATCATGAATTTCCACCCTTGTGTCAACTGCATGACTAACCCAGTCCACCACCTAAGTCTTTGTGGAATCATCCCATCTTTCACCAACATCTGAAACACACGAGGGTGTGTAAAGAGCAACAGTGTGATTGGTTACCTGATTTCAGGATGCTGAAATGCTGGGCCTTCTCTGAAGTGATGCCTGGGGTCTGGGAGGTAACCCCCTGGTGCCTCCTGCGAAGGGATGACATAGGGGTATTCTGGAGGAGGCCCTCGAGATTCTGGTGCCTCAGAGGGCTTCCCTCTAGGGACAGAGAGATGGTGGTGCCTAGAGAGCTGAGGGTAGCTGTGAGAGGAGCTCATGTGGTTCTGAGCTTTGGCTCCGTTCCTCTCAAGCGACATCTGCAGGAGCCGTTCACTGAGCGACCTCACATGCCCGTGCTTCAGCTCCTTCAGCGACTCGTCCTGGTGTGGGCTGCTGGCGTCCGAGGTGTAGGCCCTGCGTTGCCCACCTTCAGCGTGTGCCCCGAGCGCGGCAACCCCAACCTGCTGGCCTCGTTGCGAGGCGTAATACTGAGAATGCGCTTTCGCCTCCTCGTAGGTGGGTAGCTCCTCTCCCTTGTGCTGAGGCTGGTAGAGATGGTACATATTGTTCTCCAGGTAGAAGTGGTCGCCATGGTGCTCCTGGCCCTGTGGCTCCTGCCGTGTGGACTGCTGGACCATCTGGCTCTCCTCCTGGGTGAGGCTCTCAAGGGAGGACCGTGGGCTGCCACCGCTTCCTCCTCCACGCAGGGCCTGCTGCTGTATTGCCAGGAGAGTGCGGTTCTCTGTGAGGTTGCCGTACCTCAGCTGCTCCTGGATGAGGCGGTGAAGGACAGTCCCAGAGGAATCCTCAGCTGTCCTCATTCTCAGCTAAACTGGCTGCCCACAAGCGCTTTCCAAAGGTACAGAAGATACTATCCCCGGAATCTAACAGTGACGGCCCAGCCAAATGATCCTAAAAGTGAAGAGAGCAAGAGTCAGTAGGGATAGAAAGCACTGCTCGGTTGAGTCTGCAGGAAGAAATCCTTCCAGTTTTCCATCTTGAGATTTAAGGGACTAGGACCTGGTTTTTAAAAAGGTCACATGCCCCTCATGAAGGCCACCTAAGCTAACAGGGTTGTTGTGAGGATGAAATCACATATCTTTACATGTTTCTTGGAGAAAAGCTGGGATGCCAGCGTGATAAACATTAACTAGTTGTTTGTTTTAATTGCTCATTTATATCTGATGTGTGTCTTTCAGAATTCTTGGGGTAAATGCCATAAATAAATGTGTCTCAAATAGGGCTTTCTTCCATCTGTTCTTGGGCTTGTAGCCCTGAACTCCTTTGTAGGACAGCAATCTATTGAAGATCCTGTGCATCTCCATTCAGAAGAAAGTCTGGTTTCAATGGGACTTTCTCCCAAGTAAGGATGCAGAGTATCACAGCTAAACTGTGGGGAATGAACAAAGTGATGTGCTCTTTTCAAATCTAGTTTTTCCTAACAACAACCTTGTTAAGCAGGCCAGGAGCAAAGAAGCATGATTGACTCAGTAAGCATCAGCCAACAAGTTACAATAGTAATCTAGAAGTTGCAGGCTGCATTGGTTCTATAACAGTTCTCAAGGTCATATTTCAGAATGGCAAAGAAGGTCAAGTATCATGTATAAGGTATTCCCAGAAGGCTCATTCCTATTTAAGCAAGTCTGTTACCTGTTTAACAATCATCCTATCATTAGCAATATCCTCAAAAGGGACCATCTACTAAATTGGCCGCAGAAAATCTTTCATCGGTGAGGAGTCACAAGTCACTCAACCGACACACAAATATTTTACTCAACGCCAGAATGAAAATCAGAGCATGAAAATGGTCTCTGGGTAAATTCCAGTTAAACATTTGTTTCCTTTAAATGAGAACAGAAACTTCACAAACAAGGTATTGTCGGTGCTGCAGAGCAGCCAGTAGTTGCAGTTGCTACAGGGCAGCTCCACAGCTGGAAACCAACCCATGTCCTCTAACTTACCTTCTGATGCACAGAGACTGACTCCGGCCAAGGAAAGGCACTCTGCACATGACCAAAGGCATTAGCGTAAGCAATATTTTAAAACTGCATGGTGCCGATGGCTCAACTACCAGGGTCACAGAAAGGGCAAAGCCAATTCCAATGAAAGCATGCTCTAGTTTACCTTAGTAAGCTATTTGGGAAACAAGGTCCTGTAAGGGAAGTGGGGAGAGGGAAAACGAACAGGAGATGGCTAATTCTGTTCACCCACCCTTCCATCCTGTAATGCCATTCTGAAATGCTATATTAAGTCCTTGTACTGTAAAGAGTTGAGATTAATTGCATAGGTGAACCCTATCCCAAGTTAATAACCAAATGGAGAAAAAGAGGGGGTATTAACAAGTAATTTTTGCAGATTAATTGAATTGCAAAATTTTAACAACCAGACATTATTGGGTATTTCTGTAGCACATTGAATAGGACAAGCTGCTTCATGGTTTTTAATTGCACTCATTTTATGAGCTCCATAACTATTTTCCAGGCAAGGGGGCTTAACGAAGGGAATAAATATTTCTACTGCACTTTGCAGTGTATAAAGTCTGAGACACCATTATCTTGATGCTAAATTCCAGAAAGGGTCAAGCATGCCAGAAGTAATTTTTTTTGCAATGTTAGCTTATTTCTTTTTAAGGAGAGTTCACCTTAAAAGGTGAACAATAAACGACGGAGCAATCCAGGCATGTCCATCGGAAGTTAAGACTCACCGAGCTCAATGGAGCTTAGTCCTAGGAATGGGCGCACAGCTTTTAGCCTCAGGCTGCAATCCTATGCACGCTTCCCCGGCACTGCTTTGCTAGGCTGCTCGTCTTTAAGTGCCACCAGCCTCTGAGTGCTTCCTTATCTTAACTATCTGCGACAAATTCTACGCTCCGCTCCCGTGGAAAAAATGCAAAAAGTCTCCCTAAGGAGCGGCAGCCAAGGCCAGGATCCCGCCGCGCCCCCACCCGTCGCCGTCCTTCCAGCCCAAATGCATGTAATGGAGAGCGATCGCCCGAAGCGCACTCAGCAGATTGCCATCTGCGCAGTATTTCGAGTTTCCCCTGCCTCGCTGCCCGCTCTTTGTTTTCCAAATAGTTCTGCCCTGACATCATCGGGGTTTGGATTGCAATTAACATTCCTGCGAAGTGAGAGCGAGAGCTCCGGGCTCCGGGAAGCAGCGGCCAGCGGCAGGCCAGACAAAGCCAAGGCGGCCGCGCGCGAGAGGGATGCCCCTAGCAGCACCTGCCCGCCCAGCCCACGCGCGCCCCCCAGCCCCAAGCAGCAGCACCCTGGTCCCACCCACGCCTGGAAACGTTACCTGCCCGCGCACGAGAGATTCGGGCAAGGCGAACCGAGAATGAAGACAACCTAGGAAAAGTCTGGGGAGATTTTTTTCTCTCTTTTTTTGGTGGCGGGAGAGGACACCAGAAGGAGGCAAGGAGCTACGCACCTCCAGATCAAAATTTAGGAGGGAAAGCCAGAAAATTTGTCCAAGGCAAAGCAAACAGGGCAATCGCTTTGGAGGTCTCTCTCCCCCCTCCCCCGTTTTATAGCAAGAGTTCGGGTTTTGGATGGTTTGATCTCCCACCAGTGTGTCACCAGACAGTCGCCACGGTGAGAGCCGACTCCAAATGCGGGGAAAGTTGGCCGCTGCTTGGCGGTCTCCAGCTATGCCGAAGGACATATGTCACACAGCCATTCTCGGTGTGTCTCTCTCTCGCGCGCGCTCCCCTTGCTTGCAGTCGCTCCCGCGTGGCGCGGAACTTACCGGACCATCGCAGCCCCACAATGGCTTCGTGCTAAACTGCGGGCTCGGTTCGGACCCGCTCTTAGCGCCGGGCAGGAAGCGAGGGCTCAACCCCAGCAAATGTCCGGCTCCGCGGCTTGCGCGCTCCTCCTGGCTTCAGCGCCTGAGTGAGCCGAGGGGGTGCATGTAAAGCCCCGCGCAGCGCCTGCCTGCGTCCGCCCCTGCTGGAAGGAAGGCAAACTGAGCGCACAGCCTGCCTCCGCCAGCTGTAATGAGAGCCGGGGAGGCTGGGCCGCGCGAAGAGGCTGCTGCTGCTATGCCAGGAATGCGAGAGCGCCAGGTCCGCCTCCCCCCACTCCGCGATCAAAAGCTGCTCGCTGCAAAGAGAGGCTTGTCGAGGCGGCTCGGCAGCCTGTTCGCTCCCGCGGTTGCGATTAACGCCGGAGCCCGGGAGGGGGCGCGACGCTGCGTCCCCACTAGCCGTGCGGCCCAGTCGGCGCGCGCCGCGGAATAATAGCCTGACGCCTCGCTGTGCGAAGGAAGGAGGCCACGAATGCGCTGGAAATGTTCATTTGCTATCTATTCTAAATTGGCTGAGGGGCACGCAGATATTAGGTCGGACTCCAGAGCGTAGAACTCGCCTAACTTCCCCAGTTACTCCCATTGCTTAAGCCTCTCTCCGCCCCCACCCCCAACTCAGCTACGTTTTCTTCTAAAAGAGGGGCAGGGGGAGCTTGTTTTGTGAGGAGTCTCCAAAAATAAATTAGTTGCTCCTGGCCATTTCTAATACATCTTCCAGACAGCGGAGTTCCCCCGCAGCCAGTTTATTTAAGACCATTACTGTACAGTTTAATAGAGGAAATATATTTTAAGCAATAGGCAGCAAGTTTTTAAAAAGGCACCAATTACAAAAATATGCAATGAAACCTTCAACACAAACGGCCAATAAAGTATCAGTACTGTAATTGAGTACTGATAGTAACCGCTTCTCACTGACCACACCACTCAGCCTCTTACCAGACCGCAAACTCACCAACTATTGCATGTACAAAGCTGAACTGGTCCCCTGAACTGGCTGAGGGTAGAGTTTGCTTTTATGAGATTTGTCAGGCTGCCCACAGCTGTGTCCTATTCAATCAATAAACTGCTCTTCACACACCCAGTTCTCCAGCTTAGGGGGCTGAAAGAGGTGGAGTTGCACAAATGCAAAAAGATAGCAAATGTGACTCCTTCCACTCACAGTTCTTCCTCAACTTTCTACACTCACCACTCCTCTTCCAGCTGTTTTGGAGAGGATCCCAAATTTTGGGGTTCCTGATGTTTCCCTGTCCTTTGGCAAGGCTGCTTACTTTTCTGGGCAGGCCTCAAGATCTGATGGCAAGGCCTCAGGCTTACTACAGTTGTGCCCCATTCAGCAATCTATCAGCTGCTGAAAACATCCAATTCCAGACTTAGCAGAGAGGGAAGATACTCCATGCAAAAAAATAACCACCAACGTAGGGCTTTGTGACTGCAACTTTTAGACTGCGCTGAATCTCTGGTGTGCTGCTTAGGCTAGCAAGGATTGGCCCTGTTTCCCCTGTGGCTTGTGTACATTGTCAGGCATCCTGAATCAGCATATCTGACCCTTGAAAATACCTTTATCTGGATGTACCCCAACAGTAATGGCATCTCTAAGGGCGACTCTAGTAAGTGGATAAAGAAGGTTGTAAAGGAACAACGGAGCCAGCAGAGGGGGATGTGTGTAACCAGCTTTGCCACACTTGCCCTTGCATTAATATTTGCCTCTGATTTTGGTATAATTAAAACAAAGCGTGTAGAGCTGAGTCTACCACCACATGCTTGAGATGGCAGATTAATTTGTCTACCTGGATTCCTCCATAACCAGCAGCCTCTCCATTGATGCTGAGCTGGACAAGTGTATTTGCAAGGCAGCTACGGCATTGGTTTGCCTCTCCAAAAGGGAGAACATGATGCTAATGTCCAATACCAAGATGAAGGTCTACCAGGCTTGTTTATGGTAGTGAATCATGGGCAACTTACACCTGCCAGGAGCAACATTTCAATGCCTTCCATATGCACTGCATCAGGAAGATTTTGAGCATCACTTGGCAGGACAGATGTGCTCTCCCAAGCCCATATTCCCAGCATTTTCACACACCTGTCTCAAATATGTCTATGCTGGCTGGGTCATTTCCACAGAATGGAAGATGGTGGGACCATCTTGCTGTTTTTGGTCTCCAGCTGTCTTCAGACTACAATGCCCATTATCCCTGACCACTGGTCTTGCTAGCTAGGGATGATGGGAGTTGTGGTCCAAAAACAGCTGGAGACCCAAGGTTGGCAAACAGGTCTGGCTTCAGGCACCATGTCTCTGTTACAAGGTAAAAGGTAAAGGTACCCCTGCCCGTACAGGCCAGTCGTGTCAGACTCTAGGGTTGTGCGCCCATCTCACTTAAGAGGCCGGGGGCCAGCACTGTCCGGAGACACTTCCGGGTCACGTGGCCAGCGTGACGAAGCTGCTCTGGTGAGCCAGCACCAGCGCAGCACACGGAAACGCCGTTTACCTTCCCGCTGGTAAGCGGTTCCTATTTATCTACTTGCACTTAGGGGTGCTTTCGAACTGCTAGGTGGGCAGGAGCTGGGACCGAAAGACGGGAGCTCACCCCGCCGCGGGGATTCGAACCGCCGACCATGTGATCGGCAAGCCCTAGGCGCTGAGGTTTTATCCACAGTGCCACCCGTCTGTATTACAAAGATGTCCACAAAAGTAGCATGAATGCTGGCAACATTAACCCTGCTGTGTAGGAATCCCTTGTAGACAACCACAGTGCCTGGGGACAATCAGACTGGTCACGTATCCACAACAGTGACCAGAGGAGGAATGACTGCCGGAAGGAACACAGAGAGAAGAAACACGATGGCAGAGGTGGATTTAGGGGAGTATAACTGGTTTAGCCATTCTGGACACTAAGCTGAGAGGGCACCACAAAGGGCACTGCAACAATGATGAACAATGGAAGGCAAGAAGCAGCAGGGGGGAAGGTGATGAAGTTTGGCAGCGCACAAGGTGCTACTGAAATTTTAAAGCCCAAAGTCGGCTACTGGCCATGGTGCATCTGTAGCAGCACAACCGGATGCCTTCATGTGCCCCATCAGCAATAAAACATGTCTCTCTTGTATTGGTCTCAGCAGGTACTGCAACCTTTCAACAGTTTGACTTTACCCCCCCCAAAGGCACACTCCTCTTTTATCTTCCCATGAAACTACCCTATTATATTAGCCATTGTTCACTGCTATAACAGTGCAGGAAGAAATCTAACTGGTCTGCTTGGAATTTTTTTGGGGGATGCTTCTTGCTGGATTCCTGGGGTACAGTCCCAGAATAGTTTTTTCTCTCTTCATACCAGGGCATAAATCTCCCAAAGCATTTATTTTAATTTTTAAAATGTACGTTGCTTTTCAGCCAAAGCAGTTTGCAAAGCTGTGAAACGTTGCAAGGTGTCTTAAACCTTCAGGCTGACTTGAGAGGAGAGTGTAGGGGGCACAGAATGCTTTGCCCTCTCTGCTGGGTAGCTAGTGCCAGCCTCAAGGACACTGAGGGTCGTGGGACCAAAATTCCAGGCAACAAGTCACAGAACCATGCCAGAATTGAGCCTGCTTAATAATAAGTGCTTATTATTATTATTTTTGAAATATTTTCCCCTCTGCCTTTCCATCCAGTAATGGGATGCTCAAGACAGCTACCATAAGAAGTGTGATTTCATAAATACAAAAACAAAAGCACTACAGTCCTCTGTGTTTGTCCTGAAGATTGCATGCTAAGAAGGGGAGAGGTCTCCGCATCTTTCAGAAGGGGACCTAGCCCCTTTTCTGTTTAATCTCCGAACAAAGAAGAAAAAGTACAAGGGCTTATTATGTGTACTATATGGGGAAGAGTCCTTAGTCTAAGTTTTCTGGGCAATTTGGTTGTGGATTCAGGGAGTTCATTCTTGGAAATTCTGTTCATGTATTTGTGTGTCTGCATGAGGCGAGTGCAGGCAGCTTGCTGTTAGAGGAGGGGTATTTATTGACTGGGGATAAGCATTCTGCCTGCCAGCTGCCTGTGGAAATAAATCTTATTTAATCAAAGCTGTGAGAGGATCTGTTGTCTTTAATGCCAAAGAAGGCTGATTAAAAAAGAAAGAACCTGCCTTTACCATCTGCTCCTCTCACTGCACACCCCACAATGAAGCTTCTCTTCCCCCCCATCTGCCCCCATTTGACAGGTGATGGCTGTTTGCAACTAACAAAAAGGCACAATATCCTTTGTCTTGCAGGAACATTCCAGGGGGTGGCTTGGGAATTCCTCTCCCCTTTCCTGCTCTTCCCTCAAGATGGCAAGTTTCCAAATATTTCCTGCTTTACTCCGAGGACAGACAGCCAAGGAGATGGAATAGATTTTGATTTTGTGACTGAGGATTAGACTGAAGGCTGAAGACAACACCGGATTAGAATATAGGTGCAGAAGCTTTAGAAGAAACAGGAGGGCAGGCATAAAGGAGAAGACACTTTTGTTTATTACATGTTATCTCCGGCAGAACAGAGCCTCTAAGGAATTAGATCAACCCTAGAAAACAAAGCAGTAAAGTTTCCTAATATGTCACTGGTTGTTTTTTTCCTTGCACCCTGTGGGTGCAAATGATAAGTTGCGTGGCTGATCACTAGCCACGTTGGAAAAAATATCTGATTATTGCTCACAGCAGTTGTGGACCCACATTTCATGTGGTGAGCATTATGATAATGGCTTTTTATGGAAGTGCTCTGCTTTGATAAATAGAAAAGACTGTGGCTTTGAGTGTTTGGCAGCAGAAATGCAGGCAACAGAAGCACAACCATGAGGAAAGTCATGAGGTGTAGGTGCGACAAATGAGGAACAGAAGTGCATTTATGGTACAATGAACTGATTGTGCGGAAGAGCCCAAGGCATGAAGCTGGCAATATCCCTTTGAAAAGAAATATTTAACAAAGACATATAAACATACAATAAGTATATCTGCAGCCTAGTCCTAGTCACTGGAAACTTTTTTATTTTTAGTGTTACATAACTTCTGGGAAATGCTCAGACTTCAGCTTGCAGAACTGGGAAGGAGGCACAGAAAACACCTTTCTATATTTTCAGTATTCCGATTTAACCCATGGAGATCACTATCAAGTAAAAAACACACCTATCAGGAAGTAAAGTTAACTGATTTTAACAAAACTTGATTGCTTGTAAATGTGTTTAGGATTACAATGTAAGGAAGGGATTAATCCATGGGTAGGCAAACTAAGGCCCGGGGCCCCAGGTCCGGCCAAATCGCCTTCTAAATCTGGCCTGCGGACGGTCCAGGAATCAGTGTGTTTTTAAATGAGTAGAATGTGTCCTTTTATTTAAAATGCATCTCTGGGTTATTTGTGGGGCATAGGAATTTGTTCATTCCCTCCCCCCAAAAATATAGTCCGGCCCCCCACAAGGTCTGAGGGACAGTGGACCGGCCCCCTGCTGGAAAAGTTTGCTGACCCCTTTACATTCATCTTCAGTAATGGTGCAATGCCAATGTGTCTGTTCAATTTTCTGATGGGTCCATTCATTATATGGGGCTACTGACCTAAATGACAGGTTTATTAGGGTTATCATGTCATTGCCTGGAGATGATAATGTACAAAGGCACTAAAAAAAGGACATATTTTCTGTGCTTCACACAGAATATTCCCATCCAATAGGTTCCACTCTGGTGGGAAGGTAAACGGCATTTCCGTGCACTGCTCTGGTTCGCCAGAAGTGGCTTAGTCATGCTGGCCACAGGACCTAGAAAAACTGTCTGCGGAAGTGGGCAAATGCTGGCTCCCTTGGCCTGCAAAGCGAGATGAGCACCACAACCCCAGAGTCGTTCGTGACTGCACTTAACTGTCAGGGGTCCCTTTACCTTTACCTTTAGTAGAGAAATGGGGCAGGATGTGCATGTTTAATGGATGTAAAGTATTGGCACTATCTTCTGGCAAGATCCTGGGAATCCTGACTGGACATGTACCACTTATGGCTTGGTAATGGTGATCCTTGTAGGTGATCAAGAGATTGGTGTTCCACTTAAACATAAAACAACTTTGACTGACAGTCTCTTGGGACCTCAAGTACTAGCCACCCCAGTTTTGAAATTATGTCAACAGCACATTTTAAAATTAGGATTGCTACCTGCTTGTCATGCATAAACCATGTTAGGTTAATGTTTTCAACATACCAGAGAGCTCTTTAAAAGGATGAACAGGTTTGTTGTGACGTGAACTTGTGTAATCAGTTACGGAATCATTTTTATTGTGGCATGCGCTTCAGTTAAATGACATGGGCTAAAGGAATAGATGGCTGTGTAAATATATGGGCTGTAATCCAAGGGTGTTTCCACGGATGGAAGTCAATATTTAAATTTCACATACTGCTGTGATGATGTCACAAACATCTGCATCATGAATATTCAGAATGATGCATTTTCTTGCTCCTACCAGTAACTTTGAGACTGAAAGATTATTCCCTAGTAAGACAGTTCCAGTGATACATTTTCAGTAATACTGCTAAGTAGCAAATGGGACCTGCAACAAAATGAATGTTTATGGACATTTCTTTTTAAAAACAGGAATGGAGCTATAAGAAAGGGGAAATCACAAAGGAGGCGTATACACAAGTAGTCAACAGTTGCAGGGTGAAGGCTGGCTAAAGCTCAGAATGAGCTCAGGCTTGCAAGAGAAGTTAAAAATAATTAAAAAGGTGTCTTTGGCTATGTCTGAAGTAAGTGGAAGAACAAGCAAGTGGTAGGTTCTCTGTGTGGGAGGAGAAATGCTATTGTGTGACAGAGAGAAGGCGGAACTACTCAACACCTACTTCTGGGGGGAGGGGCATCTTCTCCCAACCCGTTTACAGCCAGTGTGGTGTAGGATGACCTTGGGCTAGACTAGGCTTCCTCAACCTCAGCCCTCCAGATGTTTTTGGCCTACAACTCCCATGATCCCTAGCTAGCAGGACCAGTGGTCAGGGATGCTGGGAATTGTAGTCTCAAAACATCTGGAGGGCCATGGTTGAGGAAGCCTGGGCTAGACACTAGCTCTCAGCTTCACGTATTTCACAGACTTGTTGTGAGGATAAAGTAGTGGGATTCAGGTATGCCAACCTGAGTTCCTTGCATGAACAGTGGGATAAAAATGTACTAAAGAATAATAGTTGTTTGCACATGGAATCAGTTCCAACACATCAGTGTACTGGAGCAGAGATTCTGTGCCCTCATATCTTATTTGTTTGTTTAAAGATGTTCCTCAGCTGCTCTTAATCATAGTCAATCCTAGAGTCCAATGCATAACACAAACATTCAGTTAAAGAAAGTGAGTGTGGTGTAGTGGTTACAGAGTCCTATTAGGACCTGGGAGACCAGGATCCAAATCCCCATTCAGCCAAAAAAGCCCACTGGGTGACCTTGGTTAGTTACTATTTCTCAGCCTAACCTACCTCTCGAGGTTGTTGTGGGGATAAAATGCGGAGATGGAGACATGTGCATGGCACCTTAAACTCCCTGGATATAAGGTGGGATGAACGTAGCAGCAGCAGCAGCAACAACAACAACAACCATCACACACAGAACTATTCATCATAAAGAATAATAGCACTTAAAAACCAAAGAAAGTACTACCAAACTGTGGGGTGGGTTACACATCCTCCATCAAAAGATGATATAATAAGTTGCATACGTCTGGGCAAATAAATGATACATCTCTTGATGCCAAGTGTGCTTCCAGGTGATCTCTTGCACAGGTGATCAGGGCAACCATGAACTAACCCCTTTTAGCCACTGTCTTGTAGGAATAGCTATCTCCCTTCCTTCCTGTTGGGTCTCATGTCACCACACTTCCTCCATTTTCCTTTGATTTGCTTGGCCTTGGCCTTTGAAGAGGTTCACTGTGACAGAGTTTAAAACACACATCACTGCATGGATCCAGCAAATCCATTGCACAAGGCCAGCTTAGAATGAATGAAAAATTCTGGGAGCAGAGGGTGGGAAATATCTCCAGCTTGGCATGGAATCATTCTCAGGTGGCTACAGCAAGTTTGAACGCTCCACTAAAACTACAGAAGTCACAGCCCAATACATCAAAAGGGTTGTAGGTTACTTTCCGGTTTGCTGATTAGGTAGTTTCAGGTTCTAGTTTTGTTTTTGCATAATCACTGTAGCTAGAGCCAAGTCAAAGCCGCCTTGAAAATAAAGCACAGGACACAATAGAAATGAAACTAGAGTGCACTGCAGATGGTGGAAAGTGGAAAACTCATCTTTTGACCTTTGTGCGATGCTGAGTTTCCAATTCTCTCTGTCCGCTTGGCCCTCCAGACCCAGAGGCAGCTGCAGATGTTTCAAAGACAATGTGCAATACTGATTTATAGGAGACAGCATGTTCCCTTATGTACTCCTGCCTCAGCACAATTATCTTTGAATAGTAAGAAGCCCGATTCACCTTCCAACTTTTCATTGTTCTGTATGGAAATGGGAGATGCCACTAAACAGATGCTATCTCTGGAACACAACAGAAAAGTCTTAGTTGAAGGGCTTTGGAATAGGCTGATAAGCATCAACCACTGAGTGATCCAAGCCTCTGCAATCTTAATTCATATTCTTGCTCATTTGTTGTTGCTAAACATATTTAGCAGAAAAAGAGCAGATTTCATGTAGGCCTGGGATAAGCAACTTGGTACCCTCCAGGTGTTGTGAACTACAACTTCCACCAGTCCCAACCAGGATGGGCAGTGGTCAGGGATGATGGGAGCTGCAGCCCACATCATCTGGAGCAGACTTTCTCAACCATGGGTGCCCAGGTGTTGTTGGACTACAACTCCCATCATCCCTAACTAGCAGGACCGGTGGTTAGGGATGATGGAGGGTTGTAGTCCAATAACATCTGGGGACCCAAGGTTGAGAAAGGCTGATCTGGGGGGTACTATTTTAGCTACCCTGATGCTCCTACCTGTGCCTATAGTATGACATCAGGTGTGGTGTCTGTGGGTTTGAGGACTCATGGTCTGAGATCGGGCCCCTATTTGGCTTAACTGGGCTCACAGGCTGGAGATTCCCCACCAGTGGTCTAAAGGCATATGATGCAGTAACCCTGACAGTGCTAAGCAGGTGAGCACCTGGTCATTTCCTGGATGAAAGCCTAATATATGCTGTTTCAAGTTTAATTGTGGGAAAATGTGGAGTATGATAGAAAGAAGATTCTATCTGCATTCTAATCACACACTTTTCCTGACATTTATTGGCCTTATGCTTCAGTTGAAATGGGAAATTATTACTAATACTTTTTTTGTCACTTTGGGCTAGATTTGTACACAACAGGATCTCTCAGTTACATATGCTTTGAAAATATATATTCATATGCTATTGTTTTGTTTCTGAATAGGCCAAAACCTGTTTCCCCGAGTTCAGAAAACGATGTCTGCATTAAAGTCACTGTTCTTTGTAGGCTCTCTGCGGCATTTCCCAGCGTGCCTCCTGCGCAGGTGGGCAGAATTATTTGCTCCCAGCCCAGAACAATTCTGCTTGCTGCTTTGTGAGCAGCACAACATTTTGTCACACGCTTTTGAAAATGTGTTTTTCGCATGACCCCAGTTGGTGAGGAGTAAACTTTGTCCCTAGATGCGTGTGATGCTGTAGTTTTAATGTCAACATCAAGGTCATTTTTTATGTTTAAGTGTAGCCTTCGTTTCATGTCAAAGCAAAATTATTTTTCTTAATAATGTGGGAGGGGCTCTGGGGAGGGAGACAGGCATCCCTTTGTATAAAGTCACACACACACTGCCTTCCTCCCCTCCCCCTCCCCTCCGCTGTTTACATTGACATGGTAATGTCTGGAATGCAGCTATTTCCTCTTCTGTTCCCAATACAATGCAAGGGGACAAAAGGCAGCAATTTGCTCACCTCAGGTCAAAGACTAACTCTCATGCCCTTCCCTGAACACCATGAGTCCCTGCTGTATATTCCTTCTCACTATCCCATTATCTCAGCAGGGGGGGTGGAGAGAGCCATTCCTTCTCATCAGGAGACCTGCTCTAACATCAGTCCCTTTGGTATGAAAAAGCTTTTCTCTCACGCACCCCTTATGCCCTAATTTCCAACAGACCCTTCTGTTCACAGACCCTTCTGTTTGGACCCCTCTCTGCAGAGAGGTGGATTGTTGGTAGGTAAGGAGAGCTTTGGAAACTGAAAAGCTGGCCCTGGGGTTTATTACACCAAAACCCACAGGGAAAAACATCCCTCGGACTCCTAGTCTGATGAGAGGACCATACAGGAGAATTTAAGGAAGCATCCCTGAGTTTGGGAACCCACAAAACCTTCTCCCAGATTTGTCCTTGAAGTTGACCCTTCTCTTGGTGGATTTAGTAAAAAAAAATCCATATTAAAAGCCCCCCACCAGTCCTTCCTAATTAATATGTCCTTTAGTTTTTTATTCTTTTTGTAAGCCAGCATGAGAATATGGTTGAAGCATGCTATAAAAATACTTCTTTTAAAAAGTACTACAGCAACAGAAGGAACAAACCAAACAGAAAAACCTTCCAGATTCATATGTACGCAAAGACTGGTTCAAATATGTAGTACACCAATGGTCCAAAATTTGATGTAGGTTAAATGTTTCACATACAGTATATCCCATACCACCTACAGTATTTAAATGTGTGAATTTTCATCTAGGTTGTTTTGGAGACTGTTTGAATCATCCAGCCCCCACCAAAAGTTGTTGTAAACTACAGTCACACTAAGACACCACAGCAATTTCCTTCACATGGCAAGTGGTTTCTGGATTCTACCTCAGCCCATGAATTTTCTTTGATTTTCATGTGACGTTTTCAGGGTAGCTTTCTTCTTCCTAGTAGAACCAACCTGAACCTGACTGAATCTAAAATGCATCTCTCAGACTAATCTTGCTCTAATCATTTCCCTCCACTCATTTCCCCTTGAGTATCTAGTTTCTAAAAGTATAAGCCTAAGAGCAGGGTTTATCTAGATCTTAATTTTGCTGAACTATATAAACATTACATTAAATGCGGGGCTGGGTCTTGCACTTTTATTTTACCTTTAAATAGCTGCTGTACCTGCCCCCAATCAGGATTGGGGCTGCAATGTGTCTGGAGGGTTTTTTTGTTTTTGTTCTTTTAAAATGCCTTATATCTTCACTGTGGTACCCCGATGAAAACGTTACACACACTCACCCTTGAGCTGTATTTCTGTGCAGAGGGGAAATGTCATCAGCACCAGTGGCAACTTCCCTTCCAGTGCAGATGGATCTTTCAATGGGTGCAGGGGTAAAGGGTTTTAAAAAACCAACCCTCCACCAATGCAATGGCCCCAATCCTGCTTAAGACCTCTTGTGAATGCTATTAAAGGGGGGGGGAATAAACATGAAAGCCAAACCATGCATGATCATAATCTGCAGTTTGACTAATTCCTGGATATATTCTAGAAAGAACCACCACATGGAGATGAACACTCATTCATGGGAATATCTGCAGAAGAATGGCATATCTTGCAGAGGCAGCCAGTAGGTTTCAAAGAGTAATAATAATAATAATAATAATTTAATATTTGTACCCCACCTATCTGGCTGGCTTTCCCTAGCCACTCTGGGCGGCTTCCAACGAAGATTAAAAATACATTAAAATGTCACACATTAAAAAATTCCCTAAACATGGTTGCCTTCAGATGTTTTCTAAATGTCAGGTAGTTGTTTATCTCTTTGACATCTGATGGGAAGGCATTCCACAGGGAGGGTGCCACTACCGAGAAGGCCCTCTGCCTGGTTCCCTGTAGCTGGCAAGCTGGCAAATCTGCCTTAGGGGTATTTAACAATATCCTTCAGCTATAAACTGCATGGACCATTGCAATTGACTTTTTTTGCTTCAGAGGGTGTAGAGCCTGTGTGTGTGTGTGTGTGTGTGTGTGTGTGTGTGTGTGTACGTCTCACTCTGTTCCCTTTGCTCAAGAAGGTGTGACAGTGCTGTGTGGCTAAGCAGGTGAGTCTTTCTACAGTCTTTTTACAACCAAAGCACTATTAGAAGCACAGGAGCACAGGAAGCTGCCATATACTGAGCCAGACTGGTCCATCTAGTTCACCTGCAGTGACCCTCCAGGCTTTTAGGCAGAGGACATTCCCAGCCCCACCTGGAAATACTGGGAATTGAGCCTGGGACATTCTACATACAGACTGCAGAGCAGGGAAATAATGTGAATCTGTGTCGATGTGCCTAATACTCTGCCCAGGGAGGCTTGTCTGGTACCTTCATTCCATATCTTTTAGGTGCCAGACAAAAATGTTTCTATGTAACCAGGCCTTGCTGCAAAACTGCTGCAAAACTTTGGAACAGATTTGGAGTGAATGTTGGGTTTTGGAGTTATAGCTAAGACCCTCCTTTTGAGTATCAACTACTCAGTTTGTGGGGTGCTGTAAAATGTGCGGTTTCCGCTGCAAAACACAGCAAAACCATTGCCATTTTGGCACAGGTTTGAAGTGATTTGGACACTGTTGGATTTTTGGGTTTTTGCTGCATAACAACTGCGAAACATTCACACAGATTTGGAGAGGATCCAAATTGTTGGGGTTCATAGTTAATTATCTTGGCCGATTAAACAACCAATGGCCTTTTACATGTGTTTGTGGGAGAGCGGTTATTTGTTTCTGTTTTTTGTATTTTATGTCTTTATTTTGTATTTTTATGTTGTGAAACACCCTGCGATCTTCGGATGAAGGGTGGTATACAAATTTAATTAACAACAACAACAACAACTGATGATCAGACATAGGCTCACCCACAAAATAAATCAGTGCACACATAGTAACAATTCATCTTAGAAATGAAGAAAATCTCCAAGGAGATAATCAAAGGTGCTCCATTCTTTTTTTAAAGAAAGTTCAATTTTCTGCAGTGCAAAAAGAGAGAGATAAGAACCTTAGAAGAAACAACAGACACAGGGAAGTGTAGTGGTTTGAGTGTTGGACTAAGACCCAGAAGACAAGGGTTCAAATCTCTACTCAGCCATGAAGCTCACTGGGTAAAAGACTTACCTACCTCACAGGGTTGTTATGGGGATAAAATTTAGAAGGGGGAAGCCACCTTGAACTCCATGGAGGAAATGTAGGGTATAAATGTAATAATAAATACAAATGGGGAAGACAATGCATTTAAGAGGAAGCTTTGTAAATGCCCAGTGAAAATGGACAGTGGCTCTTAGACTGTCTTGCTAACAATACAGTGGTGCCCCGCAAGACGAATGCCTTGCAAGACGAAAAACTCGCTAGACGAAAGAGTTTTTCATTTTTTGAGTCGTTCCGCAAGACGAATTTCCCTATGGGCTTGCTTCGCAAGACGAAACGTCTTGCGAGTTCTTGCGAGTTTGTTTCCTTTTTCTTAAAGCCGCTAAGCCGTTAATAGCTGTGCTTTGCAAGACGAAAAAACCGCAAGACGAAGAGGCTCGCGGAACGGATTAATTTCGTCTTGCGAGGCACCACTGTATGGGAAAAGAAATCTATAGAGATCCCTGAGCACAATTCAAGTGAGGTAAAATGCAGGGAGACCAAGGGCTTACAAAGTGTTAGAGCCTGCACCATAAGTGGAAACAATCGTGTAGTAGACATATAACAAGTAGGCGAGTATGATAAAATACCAGTAAATGATGGCTTGGGTTGTTTAATGGTGCTTCTGGTTTCTGTCAGACCAATTCTCAAGACTTTAGAACTGGAGGTGAAGAAAGGTCTCACACTAGGAAGCCATGCATTATCATCCAAAGCATCAAGAAGAGATTGTGGGACAAATCACAAGTCTGAGACCACCAATTCATTCATGTTATCTCCTGTGCCTTTTCTTGGCTTCTGAACTCAGCCTTCTGGCAAGAGTATTACTGTTAGCCACTTTGAGTGAGATTTTGTTACTTTAAAAACCTCTTCATACTGATTCATTTCAGAAAAAACAATCAGCATTTCTGATTAGAGTTTGACGTAGGTGGGGGGAATTCAAGAGTAGCTTTTGCTTATAAATGGAGGAACAATTTACTTTCCAAATTGCTTGCAGCCTCAGCTGTTGCTGCCTTCTAGTCAGAACAATAATTAAAAGCTAAGTAAAAGGAATATGTTTTTAAGACTAACTACTAAATGGCTGGCTTTAAATAACAGTAATGATAAATAATAAAATTCAATCCTACTGTTGTCCTTTCTTACATAAAACCACCGGAATGAACAGAAACCTTCTTAAACACTCCTCAGTTATGTACATCTATACACACATATGGTTCCCCCAGGTGCTCAAACTTGGTAAAAATATCTACCAAGTGAATCATCTAAAATATTTGGCAAGGAAAACATGAATCAGCAAAACAACTGTGATCAACCTACAGATTTTTCTTGTTACTTTGAAAGCAATTGTCCCGCAAACCTTCCCCATGCTCCTTCCTAGTATGCCTGAAAGTGCAACCTAAGCGCATACTTTGGATGACACATTTTGGCACAGGGCAAAAGCACAGGTCTCTTGCTGCCGCTGTGGCTCTTCTAGCAGTGTAACCAGAAGCATTTCTACATTTGAAGTAGAAACAGGCAGTTATCTGCCTCGACAGACAGAACCCGTTGCAAGACAAAAGTCTTGTCTATAGACAGCACCTACAGGGTTCATATGGCCCCTCCATGTGTTGAAAGATGCATGGGGAGGTGGGTGCGCTGCCACCAATACACACAGAAGTCAGTTCTGCAGTCATTCCTGCATTCAGCTGGATTGTAAAGGGGCTCTGCTTACATGCTGATGTATTTACGGGACCGCCTCTCCTGGTATGCCCCGCAGAGGACCTTAAGGTCCATTAATAACCATAGTTTAGAGGTCCTGCGCCCTAAGGAAGTCAGACTATCCTCCACCAGGGCCAGGGCCTTTTCAGTGATGGCTCTGACCTGGTGGAATGCTCTGTCCCATGAGACTAGGGCCCTTCAGGATTTAACTTGCTTCCACCGGGCCTGTAAGACAGAGCTATTCCACCTGGCCTTTCATTTGAATTCAGCCTGATCTTTTATTTCCCTTCTCTTCCCTCCCCATCCCCTTTTATGAAGATTACCCACTCTGAGACCCCACAGCTAATTCTCCCCTGGCCTCCTCGCTGGCCCAAGTAGGACCAATTCAGCTAGCCCTGGGGATTATCTAATGCTTATTGGATGGATTTACCCTAAATTGATTTCTGAACTTTGAATTTTATTGTTATTCATGTTTTTATACTGTATTTTATGCTGCTTTTACAATTAAGTGTTTTAAATTTGTTGTTAGCCACCCTGAGCCCAGTTTTTGAACCGGGAAGGGTGGGGTATTAATAATAATAATAATAATAATAATAATAATAATATGATGTGGGCCACATTAACCACGAACCCCAAACTTTGGGCTCCAAACGGGTGCCAAGATTTTGCAGGAGGTTTTTTTGCAGCATTTTGCAGTGAAAACGCCACATTTTGCAGCGAAAACGCCACATTTTTCACTGCCCGACAAACTGAGCAATTGATACATCAAACACAGGGCTGGTATTTAATAGTAACTATGAACCCCCAAATCTAGGATTCTCTCCAAACCAGTATTAAGTACAAACCCCGAGTTTGATGTATCAGTTGCTCAGTTCATGGGGTGCTGCAAATCACTGCAAAATTTTGGCACAGGTTTGTAGAGCACCCCAAGTTTAGAGGTTGTAGTTAATTTTCCTACTGATGTCTATGAAGAGGGGCCCAGACTGGGCCAAATTTCATGTTGCTGTTCCGGAGAACTGCCAGAACAAAAGAATGGATATATGGGGGGGGGGCATTCTCACCAGCACTGTCATACAATATAGTCTAACTCTGCATCTATATTTTGGGAGGTGTTGAATATTAATGTACAGGATGAAGAGTTAAGAAGTCTAGTCTGTTTCAGAGGAAAAACATAAGTAGCACAGCACATTACAGACTACAAGGACAGAACATCATTTCTGATTACCTGTCAAAGGCTCCCTTGCACAAAAACAATGCACATGTGCACAAGATCATCTGCTCCCTCTTTAGTGATCTGTAGGATTAAAAAAGCAAACAAGGTACCCCTGCCTGTACGGGCCAGTCTTGCCACACTCTAGGGTTGTGCGCTCATCTCACTTAAGTGGCCGGGAGCCAGTGCTGTCCGCAGACACTTCCGGGTCACGTGGCCAGCGTGACAAGCTGCATCTGGCGAGCCAGCGCAGCACACGGAACGCCGTTTACCTTCCCACTAGTAGCGGTCCCTATTTATCTACTTGCACCCGGGGGTGCTTTCGAACTGCTAGGTTGGCAGGCGCTGGGACCGAACGACGGGAGCTCACCCCGCCGCGGGGATTCGAACCGCCGACCATGCGATCGGCAAGTCCTAGGCGCTGAGGTTTTACCCACAGTGCCACCCGCGTCCCCCCAAACAAACCAGAGCTCTAAAATGCCCACTTCAGAGTGTCTCTTAACAGAAAGAAGTACCTTATTTCTTGCATACTTCTGGAAACAATATATACAGTGGTACTTTGGGTTACATACGCTTCAGGTTACAGACTCCGCTAACCCAGAAATATTACCTCGGGTTAAGAACTTTGCTTCGGGATGAGAACAGAAATCGTGCTTCGGCAGTGCGGCGGCAGTGGGAGGCCCCATTAGCTAAAGTGGTGCTTCAGGTTAAGAACAGTTTCAGGTTAAGAACGGACCTCCGGAACGAATTAAATTCTTAACCTGAGGTACCACTGTACTGGAATTAACAGCATCTGAGCAAATACAGAAAATGTGGTTCCGAGATAACCCAAAGGCTTATTCTGCATAACAAAATAAATTGCTACTGGACTGCTGTCACCAGAGCTGCATGTCAGGACCCCCCCCCCCAAATGATTTGAGAACACCCAAACACATTACTTGGAAGCTAGCTCCATCCATCTGCATTATTCCTATTTCACCACGTTTTCAGGACCAAGGTTTGAATTTTGGAAAGCTGCCTCCTTGTTTCTGAATGCCTGAGGATTGGCAAAATCGCCATGTGGAGCACTCCCTAGGACAAACAAAAGCTCCTGTATTTTGTGAATAGCTTACAGCCTAACAAAAGATGCCAAGAAACTGCTCAGATTACTTCTCAGGGCATTAAAAAAACAAAACAAAAAACCTCTGGGCACAGAGGAATGTAGCTGGCACTCGACCCTCCTGCTGTTTTCAAGGGCACTGACATCTGAATTTGAAATAAGCCTCTTCTTGTCTTTAAATTGTTTTCCCCGAGACACGCATGGGCACAGAGCTGCCCAGACATATAGCTGCTACCATCTGCAAGGACTCTGGAACAGCAGATGGTCAGAGGGATGACAGTGTGAGGCAGAGAGAAAGAAAGAAGGGGCAGGTGCAGGCAAAATTGCTAATTAGATATGGAACATTAAGTTTCCATTCAGCACCTTAAACAAAAAATAAAATAAAACTACCCACAGAGCTTAGATAAACCAAATTCTCTGGGAGAGATTGTAGCTCCCCAAGAAGAAAGGAGAGTTTTTTTCTTGGGCAGGAAATAATTTTTAAAACTGAGAAAAGAATTTTTTGGATTTACTCTGTATTTTGAGCTGCAGACAAAGGATTCAGGTAGACAGAAGCTTATGAATAGGAAAGACTGGCCCCAAAACGTCTTGAAAGACAGCAGTCCTCAAAATACAAAGTCCAAAATTCATAGGAACAACTAATTCTCATTCCAGTTATCTCTTTTAAACATGTTCCATCCTCTCCCAGTCATTTTATTGCATATTCTAACTGTACATTTCTTTTTCAAAAAATCATTTAGAAATTCAAAGGTTTACAAATTTAATACACATTATATACTTTCTATTTAATATTAGTTTACCATTTGACTTCCCCTCCACCCCTCCATGGTTTCCCCATATTCTCTAATATTGCTGCATATTATAATTACTCTATGCTTTATCCTTTCTGCTTATTCTCAGATACATATTTTACTGCTGTTCTTCATTCAAATCCTACTTGCAATTTTGCATGTTTACAATAGTGCTTTAGATATTCCCCAAATATCTTCCAATCCTCCTTAAAATCTTCTTCTTCTTGATCTCTAATTTTCATAGCTACATTTGCCAATTTGGCATATTTCGTCAATTTTAATTGCATCTCTTCTTTTGTAGGTACCACTTCCTCTCGCCATTTCGCGCACATAGTACCTTTGCTGATGCCGTTGCATATAAAAATAAGTTCATTTAAATATTTAAATATTTTCTTTACCTCATTATAGACCAGGCATAGGCAACCTTTGGCCCTCCAGATGTTTTGGACTACAGTTCCCATCATCCCTGACCACTGGTCCTGTTAGCTAGGGATCATGGGAGTTGTAGGCCAAAACATCTGGAGGGCCAAAGGTTGCCTATGCCTGTTATAGACCATCACCCCAAAATCCTTAGCCACTCTACATGTCCACCACATATGGTAAAATGTACCTTCTACTTCTTTACATTTCTAACTGATACCTGACTCAGATTTATACAATTTTGCTCATTTGCTTTGTGTCAGATGCCATCTATGAATCATTTTCATAAAATTTTCTTTCAGAGGATAACACGCTGGGAATTTCAGATTTGATTTCCACAATTTTCCCCACGACTCCATCTTGATATTATGTCCCACATCTCTAGCCCAGTGACTCAAAGCAGATTTAACCATTTCATCTTTGGTTTGCCATTCCAACAAAATCATATACATCCATGAGATTATTCTCTCCCCCCTATTCTCTGTTAGCTCCTTTTCAAACTGAGAGCTTTGGTTAATAAAACCACACTGCTTATCTTGTTATTCTGACTTTATGCTTCTGCCATTAACACAGAGGAAAAACATGCAGAATTAACAATAGCAATATAGAGTCAGCAGTATGATTCCTGCATCCTGCTTGTGGGAAGCATCTCCTAAGGCAGTGAAATTTTACACGTGTGTGTGTGTGTGTGTGTGTGTGTGTGTAACTGTGTGTAACCTAGTGAATTTTGAGTGGATGAAATGTAACTATGTAGCCTAATGTACAAAGCAGAGCTGGCTTAGGACGTTTTGCTGCTTGAGGTTAAACAGAAAATGGCTTACTGCCGCTAAAGTTGCCCCCATCAAAGTTGTCGCGGGAGAAAAAAGAAAGCTGGAGAGGAGTAGGCAGTGGCAACAGTGGAGGAGGAGGAGCAAGCAGTGGTAGTGTTGGAAGAAGAGTTTGGATTTGCTATCCCGCTTTATCACTACCTGAAGGAGTCTCAAAGCGGCTAACATTCTCCTTTCCCTTCCTCCCCCACAACAAAAACTCTGTGAGGTGAGTGGGGCTGAGAGACTTCAAAGAAGTGTGACTAGCCCAAGATCACCCAGCAGCTGCATGTGGAGGAGCGGAGACACGAACCCGGTTCACCAGATTACGAGTCTACCGCTCTTAACCACTACACTACACTGGCATGCTCCTCAGATCTGCCACCTCTCTCGCTGTCTCCCAATCTGCCACCTGAGGCAACTGCCTCACAACACCTCCTCCCCGACCATTTATTAAATTTGTATATCACCCTTCATCCAAATACCTCAGGGCGGTTTACAGCAAAAAAAAAAATACAAATTAAAAACACAAAATACACAATAAAACCAAGAATATACCAAACCAATAAATGCCTCCCCTACCACATGGGTGGGCCGGCCCTGATACAAAGCCATATCCATTGCTCCACTCGCTGCTTTCTCTCTGGAGTGTGGCTCTTGGTCTGAAAGAGGTTCCCACATGCCTGACATATAGGATTCCTATGAAAGAGTAAACTCTTGGTTTGACTTGTGAATTCTAGTCTTTGTCCTTTCCAAATGCTTCAGTGCCCTTTGGGGTGCCATCTGTATTAACCTGTAAAATTATGGCATAATGAACAACAGCAGCAGCAGGCAGGAAACTTGTGTCCCCTCCCTCGCCCCACTCCCAACACCCAGGCATGCAGAGACTGAGAAAATTAGCCAATTGAGGTCACAAGAGACCTTGAATACTATAGTTGCTGCTTCTCCCTCTGAATAAAAAGAATGTTTTGGGTTCTGAAAGCAACCACCTGTGGGGGAATGAGAGTTTCCTAGCTTCTAGCCATGCCTTCTTCACCTCTGCAAGCCAGCCTTGCATTTTCTTTCTGAATGAGAGTTTCATAAATGCAGTTGTTCTATTCTTGGCGTACTGTTTAATTCATGAACGCTCTTAACCATCTGTCACATTGATCTCCTTCCTTTCACCTGCAGCTAGGCTAACATTCTTCCGTACAAGAATGAAAAGATTACCAATTCAGCTTTTCTAAGCAAGCAAGCATACAACTGCATCATCCTAAAAAATGGAAGCAAATTCGTCCCAAGTAAGAAATTTATTGGTTGGACAGGGTTCTCAAAACTACCAACATGAGTCTGACCAAACTGCGGGAGGCAGTGGAAGACAGGAGTGCCTGGTGTGCTCTGGTCCATGGGGTCACAAAGAGTCGGACATGACTGAACGACTGAACAACAAGAAATTTCTCTTCTCAGTGTAGAATACTGTGCTGGGCCCAGGGGTTAACCCACGCAACGCGATCCATGTCTGGTCCCGAATCCAAGGATTCTATGAGGAGTCAGTCCAACAGGGCCAAGGCAGGAAACCAGGCTAGGTCAGGCACAGGGTAACAGGCAGGTTCCAGCAAGCAGCAATGTTGCTCCCGCAACCTGGGGTGGGGTCAGGCAGCCTTTTATCTCTGACGGGGTAACGGCCGGTCCTGATCCCCTGGTGACTCACCTCCCTGTCTCACCCAAAGGCGAGCACTCCTCTTGTGGTTACTCAGGTCTCTCCTTCTTTCAGACCTGAGTCTCTGCAGCTCGGAAGATGTCAGTGGGTTATTAGACCCAGAGGCCGCCTCATCCTCTCCTGACCCAACTGGTAGTGGAGCAGCTGCACGTGATTGCCCAGCAGAGGGCAATGAGGTAATCCCCGCATCTGGAGCCAGGGCAGGCTCAGGCCCCTGACTCCGCTCAGCTGGTGCTTGTTGCAGCGGAACCTGTGCAGACTGGGGCTGTTCAGAATCAGGCCCCAGACTCGGTTCATCTGCTGCCTGAGGCAGAGGATCTGGTGTGGATGAAGACTCCTCCGGTTCCGAGTCCGAACCGAAGTCCCAGGCCATCACAAATGCCTACCAAATACAAGCATCTTCACTGCAGGCCTAGGTATGAGATGTGGACTGACTCAGCACCTGAACCGCTGTGCAGCTGTATAATGGGCATGCATAAATACCACCTTATATTGAAAACCTACATATCTGTATGCTTCCATTCAAAACACACCACAAAATCCATTATCTACAGCAGAGGTGGCTAACCCATAACCTGAAGGCTACATATGGCCCTCAGTATGTTTTTACTGCCCCCCAAACCTTCCAAACTGGTAGAAATAAAGTAACAGAATAAATAGTTTAAATATTTGTTTGATGAACCCATGGGATCCCCACTGTGCTCCTGATGCCAAAAGGTGTTTTTGTTGTTGCCCCCTCTCAACTTCATCCATTAAAAATTATTGTTGTTGTTATTATTATTATTTACTAATTGCTCTCATAGGTACCCCATTGTGATACCACAAGGCCCCTTCACAATTTTTAAACTGACCTCTATCATGGGTTCCCTATCGTAATGGCAAACATTTTTTGACCTCTTGGCGGCCATCTTCTTTTTGAGACTGCTACTCTTGACCTCCAAAATGTATCCTTTAAAAACTTTGTGTCAATATCTATATCTTGAATGTGTAGCAGGACAGACTGCAGATTGTATACACTCTTTCTATCTATTCAGTTGATTTCTGCTTTTTATTCCATGTCCTCAGCGGCGTAGCGTGGGTTGTCAGCACCTGGGGCAAGGCAAGTAATTTGCGCCCCCTAACCCGGGGCAAGGCAAGTAATTTGCGCCCCCTAACCCGGGGCAAGGCAAGTAATTTGTGCCCCCTAACCCGGGGCAAGGCAAGTAATTTGCGCCCCCTAACCCGGGGCAAGGCAAGTAATTTGCGCCCCTAACCCGGGGCAAGGCAAGTAATTTGCGCCCCCTAACCCGGGGCAAGGCAAGTAATTTGCGCCCCCTAGCCCCTAACCTGCCGCTGCTGCCAGCTTCTTCTTGCTGCTGCCTGGTCTGGTCTGGTGTGGTTCTCTCCCCCGCTCAGCGCTGCGCTGGGCGGCTGCTGCACTGTCCCTCCCCCAGATAGTCCCTCGCTGTCTCTCCGCACCGCACGCCTGGCACCCACCCCCTCCACAGTGGGCGGCGACCCAGCGGCTCGGATCGGATTCGCACAGCCTGCACTGCAGTGAGAGAGAGTGAGTGAGCCAGGTAGGGGCAGAGAGCTGCGAGTGCGAGCGCCCCCCCCGATGTTGCGCCCGGTGCGGCAGGCCCCCCCGCACCCCCCACGCTATGCCACTGCATGTCCTAGTGTTGAATTTTGAATTCCTAGCACTTATAACTAGCTGTGGTGATACCAGAACATATTTTGCCCAGATCTCCAACATGGCTTCCACATTGCAGACTCAGTTCCATCATTTACTTCTTTGCCTTCAAAGCAGAACCATCTGATTGTCTGACCATCTGCCTAGCTAGAAGAAGAATAGTGTGTGTGTGTAGACTGGAATCCATTAGAAAATGTTTAATTAAAGCTGGTCCTAAGCGTCAATGGGACGCGGGTGGCGCTGTGGTAAAACCTCAGTGCCTAGGACTTGCCGATCGTATGGTCGGCGGTTCGAATCCCCGCGGCGGGGTGAGCTCCCGTCTTTCAGTCCCAGCTCCTGCCCACCTAGCAGTTCGAAAGCACCCCTAAGTGCAAGTAGATAAATAGGGACCGCTTACTGGCGGGAAGGTAAACAGCATTTCTGTGTGCTGCGCTGGTGCTGGCTTGCCAGAGCAGCTTCGTCACGCTGGCCACGTGACCCGGAAGTGTCTGCAGACAGCGCTGGCTCCCGGCCACTTAAGTGAGATGAGCGCACAACCCTAGAGTCGGACACGACTGGCCCATACGGGCAGGGGTACCTTTACCTTTACCTTTAAGCGTCAATAATGTTAAAAGGAAGTAGAAGCAGTTGCTGCCCTTTATGGGTTTTCTTTTTAAATAATGATTTCTCCCACAGTTTTTAAAGTAACCAGATGTCAAACCATTTAAGGGATCAATTAGGACAGAAACCAAAGTGGATTGCAAAGCTTGGCTCTTATGAGCATCTTCTGTGACACACAGTATAACTATTTGAACTAGTTTTCCCTGTCATCTTCGTATCAGCATTACTCTGGCTAGACATAAGGACAGAGATGAGATGAGTAGGTTAGCAAAACATTCAAGAACCGAATTCACCCTGATTTCTGAACCTTGTTTTCTTTTCACAGGTCTTCACCCAAATAGTTTATCCTCCCCACATCCGAAGGCTTGTTTATTACATGAAATCATCACTTTGTGAAAAGTATCGGGTAAGCAAAAAGGAGACATTCAAAATTTGTAGTCCTGTTGGACAGCTTAAATAACTTCTTTGGTGGAAAGAATGTTCTGCTCCTGCTCTGAAATGAACATCTTTAGCGGTTTAGCAACAATTTGGCTAGTAAACGTATCCAAAATATCAATACGATATTACCCTGTGTAAAAAAATACCACAAGCCGGTGAGATCATAAGGGGCTTTCAGAAGGAATTTTTATAGCAGACTCATGCCAAGATTTAACTTTTTTCCTAGAAGCTTTGGCATGTCCTAGAAAACAGTCAAAAGCAGAAAAATATAAGAACTCTGATGACTGCATCTGGAGGAAATTTACATTCTGGTTCAGAACTTACTTAAGCCAAAGCATTTGGATTTAAGCTGATGCACAGTCTATAGTCTAAGTCTATATCTGTTTACTCAGAATAGACATGGTTAGGATGGTGCTGTATGCACCACTTTGCTCAGTAAAATGTGGTAAGCACAAGTCTAAGCTTCAGTCTCAACATTTTGATTATAACTCTGGTTCAGTCTGTGTAGAGACTGATAAAAGTAATGCAAAATAAATCACAGGAAAATGCAGGAACAGTAACACTGGCAATTTGTTGTTGTTTCGTCCTTTAGTCGGGTCCGACTCTTCGTGACCCCATGGACCAGAGCACGCCAGGCACTCCTGTCTTCCACTGCCTCCCGCAGTTTACTCAAACTCATGCTGGTAGCTTCGAGAACACTGTCCAACCATCTTGTCCTCTGCTGTCCCCTTCTCCTTGTGCCCTCCAGGAGCACCATAACAGACCAAATGAATCAGGTTTGACGCATATTCAGCATCTCCTCTGAATCACGTTCTGTAGTTTCTCTGACACTTGATTGCAGCCTTTACCCAGAACTCACAAAAGCAGATGTTTCTCTGAAGGTTTGTGTGAGAGAAGACAAAACATGGAAGAGCTTTCCTTTTTGTTCACGTATTTCTTGCAGCTTATTTTATCAGTGACCACAGTAAATAGCATCATGTTAGAAGGCTGATAATTCAAGGGCAGTGAGAAGACGGACAGTGCCTGCAACATTCCTTTGAAGTGTGTGCATGAAGTCTCAAAAAGAGGGGAAAAGAAAAGAAATTACACTCCTCTATTTGACTCCTTTTGTGTCTGCAGATGATGCATACATACGTACGTAATTTTATTTGCATGCCACATTCTCATAGCTCAAATCACGCTCGAGGAGTCTTACAACATGAAAAAACCACATAATTACAACATAACAAAAGAAATAATATGCAATAAACAAAACATTAAAAGCTACACAACCAAAATGAATAATTTCTACATCAGAGTCAATCAGGACCCCACACTCCCAGGCCATGTGGGAAAAGGCCTGCAGGTCTTCCAGGACACACAGCCAAGATGGTCTCTGTCTCAAGATGATGGGCTAGGTGATTTAACTGTCCAGTATTCTATCTGGGAGTGCAAAGTAAGATGGAGTGGAAGATGACTCCTTGCATTGTGGTTCTGCTGGTTTTTGCAGTTTTGTTAAATATTCCACTGGTGGAACTTGAATAATCTCCCTAGGGAAGACAAGTCCATAGCCAAATGTCTTACTGCCAGGATGCTGTCTTTGCTTGTCATCATCTAGAAGCATTTGCACTCTATTCATAGCTGTAATGACACAAATCTAGCTCCCACCATAATAGCCTAAGGGCTAGTGAGCTATTCCCTATCCCACTACCTCTTGTCTGGAAAGCATTTGTAGACTCATAGACGGAAGAACTAGTAGAACTAACAGCAAAAATTCTTTCTGACCATTCCTCCAAGGAGGTCAAGGAAGGATACCTGAGTTAATATCATTTTATCCTCATGACAACCCTGTGAGGCATGCTAGGCTAAAAGCTTCAAAGCTCAGTCAAGCCAGGATTTTGAATCCTGGACTTTCTCGTCCAAACTGAACCTTCTATCCAGAACAACAAACTTCCGGCTTTGTTTTCTTTCTAACATCTATGCTGCACCATTTTTTCAAGTACAACTGAACTGCATCTGCATTATATGTGACTATCAGTGAAGACTCTGGTAACTACTATTAATCATATCTTGCAGGAGCTTTAGATTAGGGTCAGTTTTGGATTAGGGGAAACATCACATGGATGCAAGCAGACATAGTTCTTTTTAAAAAAAAATATTTATTTTATTTGATTAGACATTCATACAAACATTACTACACATACACATACACTTACAACCATAATAACATAATGACAACAAAAAATAACAAGGAAAAAGAAAAGAAAAAAGGATAAAAAGAAGAGCAAAAGAGAAAAGTTAAGGTAAGAAAGAAGTACATAAAATAGGTGGGTGATAATACAACTTTGTGACTTCCCTCTACCAGTGCTCGTCATATTTTCATTCAAGTTCTTATTTACATTGCAAATCATGTGTCACTACATTATTTCTTTTAGTATACTATTATATTATATTATCAAGACAACTTTATGAGCTTAGTCTAAACATATCAGCATGTTATCTTTAGATCAGTGTTTCTCATGTACTCTTCGAACCATAACCATTGTGACCTTAATTTCTGATGTGTTTGATATCTTATTGCTGCAGTTAATTTTGCCAATTCTATTAATTTATATAGCCAATCTTCTTTTGTGGGCATATATTTTCCTTTCCAGTTCTTTGCAAGGAGTAACCTGGCAATTTTTTCCTGTCTTGTGGTATCTCATCTCCTACTATACCCAGTAAGAATGACTCAGGTTTCCCCCCCTAAAGATATCCTGAGCATCTTTTTTAGTTCATCATGGATGCAGCCCCAGAATTTACAGGTATCAATCAAATTATTTTTGAAGCTCTGTCGTTTCCATATCAGAGACTATCAAACAATATTTAACTCAGTGAATCTTTCCACGGAAGCCAACTGCAAATTTCCATTTTAACACGAGCAATCTAGGCAATGTTCTCTAGTCTCGGAGAATGCCACTTTTGCAAAACCAAACCACTTACATAGCTGTAAGATGAGGCACAGGCCAACAGAGACAAGATCTTAATTGTTCCGTGTGTAAAATTACTCTGTCTCTAAGCTCCCCCCCCCCTTTTCACAAAAAATGCAGCCACAGTGGAATGAAGGCTTTGTGGGATACCTTAAGGTTCTCTCATACAATGAAGTGGTGTTATTCATGTCTCAGGGGATGGGCCCATAATCACAGAGGTCAGAAATGAAACTGTGGCTGGGATCTGGAAACTGAAAACCAGTTGACCTTCTGGTTCTTTCCAGTTCGATAGTTCTATGATTCTGTGGCCCTGCCCAGTCTCACTTTGTGGGACAGGAAGTCATCTGAATATGCATTACTTTCCCAATTTGACTGGACGAAGAATTAAAGGTTTAAAGTCATGGGCCAGGTGGAATCAGGATACAAAAATCAGCATGTAATTTATTCACAACATAAAATATTATATTTCATGTCATATAACTTTAGTTACTTAGGTCAAATATGTGATTCCTGTTAGGGGTGACCAAAGATATTTGTTTGCTTGAAGTGCAGCTGCAAGTATCTCCACTCCCAAGCAAAGAGACAGAGTACTGAAGGCCACACAAATTATTTTGTCTCCTGAGGCAGAAAATCTTGCAAGCATCTCTTCCACTCTTTGGCTGAAATAAATACAATAATAAGAAATGAAATAACACACCTAGATGCCTTGGTCATTTTGTCTGGAGATTTCTTTTAGCAGAAACACACCCAGTAGCTCCATTAACCCAAAGGTCAGCTGAATCACAAGCCTATCTTTAGGTTTCCTCTCTACCATGTTTTTTTTTTAAAAAATTCCAGTAGTAGAAAGTTGCATGCGAATGGGAAATATACGAAGATTGGTTTTATAACAGGAGGAAGAACATAGTGGGAGGCAATGAAGGCACACAGAAAGTTTAATAAATAAGGACACATCTATAAAGTATCAATGGGAGGAAGGGATAGCCAGTTGGTTAAAATGGAACAAAGCATGTTAGGATTTGGGTGGGCACTGGAACAATCTGATGTCTGCCTGAGAACCTGGAAAACTGTTATCAGTAGATAATATTGGGCTAGATTATCATTCCACCTTTTTTCCAAGGAGTTGGTGGACTCGCAAGAACCCAGAACTGTGTGGTAGGTGATATTGAGAGACAGCCACAGGTCACAGTTTATAACTTAACAGGGATGTGAATCCAGGTATCTCTTCTTAAAGTCCAGGACTTTACATTGTTCTGCTTCTGAAACAGTCTGATTGAGTACAAAGCAGCTTTATATGCTCAACTCAATAATTTCCTAGAGGGAACAAGCTTCATATCTTTGACACGGGTGGTGCTGTGGGTTAAACCACAGAGCCTAGGGCTTGCTGATCAGAAGGTCAGCGGTTCAAATCCCCGTGCCAGGGTGAGCTCCTGTTGCTTAGTCCCTGCTCCTGCCAATCTAGCAGTTCGAAAGCACGTAAAAGTGCAAGTAGATAAATAGGTACCACTCCGGCGGGAAGCTAAATGGTGTTTCCGTGCGCTGCTCTGGTTCGCCAGAAGCGGCTTAGTCATGCTGGCCCCATGTACGCCAGCTCTCTCGGCCAATGAAACGAGATGAGCGCCGCAACCCCAGAGTCGTCCGCAACTGGACCTAATGGTCAGGGGTCCCTTTACCTTTACCTAACAAGCTTCATATTTGAGACACAGGCAGCTCACAATTTTAAGTTAACTGCTCAGCTCACCAGCTTAATAACCACTTTAGGTGTGAGACGATCTTTGAAATTAGCTTTAGGTTTGCTCCCAGGAAAGACTCTTCAAAAGGTTAATCTGTAGATCCTTTATCTCGTTTTTGGATTACATTTCATCCTCTTTGGTAGATTTATTTTCTTCCTCCTTTTCCACTAAAATGGTATGGGGCAAATGGTGACCTGTGGGGCACATCTCCCAGACCTGAAACACAAAGGAGGAAGTTTCCTCCCCAGGAATCCAGCCAGTATATAGCTAAAGTACTGGGCCTTATCACATCCTGCAGCTGAGCACCAGTCATCTGATAAGAGCAAAGGCACCTGCAGGCAAGGAACTGGGCTGTGTGAAAAATCTCTGCTTTCACAGTTCATGCTTCTGAGATAAAGGGATTTTGCTAATTAAACTAGAGGGAAATAGTGTCCTTGATTATTTCTCAAGGGGGTATTGAAGATGTAGCCTTCAGCATTGTCTGTTCCTCTTTCCCTTTATCCCACAATGGGTCTCTATTTCTCTGAAATTGTAACACAAGGACATTCAACATACAGGAAATGCCCTTATTCAGGAATCTGTACAGTGATGGGTGATATGAGGCAGTAGCTCTACAGTCCTATCCCCCCCACATGCATCCAATGAGAATGTTCTGTCTTGGAATCTGGGCATGGTGCTTTTTTCAATGTACCTCAGAGGAAGTGGATGGCTTCCCCAAATCTGTTTGTGAAGTCCTTTCTCAAGGCACCACTTCTCACGGAATGCCTTTGCTCCACTGAAAGACAAATTGTTCCTGTGCCAAATCCATAGGGTTGCAAAAATAACTCTGGCCTTCAAGGGGCAGATCCCATGGAAACTCAGCTTGTTGTCGTTGCTGGTGCACAGAACAAGCAAGCAAGCAAGCAAACAAACAAAAACCCTGTTCTGTTTGTGGAGGGTACATCCCTCTAATCATGCTTTGCATGGAAAGTCCCGCTCCTTACTTTGTATTATTACAGGTATCAATCAAATTATTTATCAGAGACAAATGACAACCAGTCATTTATCAGAGACTATCAAGGAGAGATTCTTAATACAGGGGTGTAGGCTGAGCAGCTAGGTGGCTCAGATTTAAAGTTTTGCAAGAAAAGGCTGCATTTTCCAACCTTCTGATGATTTTGTTGCCTTTTTTATATAGCAGGAAGTGGAGGTCTTTGTAGGCAAGAGACAGAGAGGAAAGTAAGGAGCCCACACCACATGCAATTGTCCTATTTCTGCAGTAACAAGGAAAGTAGGAATTGTGTATCTCACCCGCAGCAAAGACCTTGCGCCCCAGGAAAGTCAGAAAGAAATAGGAGAATGAGAAAACCAAGTTACACACACTTCTGCTTCCCCTGATTCACCCTGAGTGTAATGAATCCTAATTTGCAAATCAAAGCTAATTAGCTGTAGCTACAGAGTTGTATTAGCCCCTCGCTCAAACTGACATTTCTCTTGGCTGCTCCCCCACTTCCCCACCTTAGCTGACCTTAGGGCGTTTTCTTGCCCTGTGCTTGGCTCAGTTTTAACTTTTATTCCACACCCCGTTACACATTAGGATGAGAAATGGGATAAAGAGCAGGCCCTAAATATAGCCGATAACGCACAGGCCTCTGCCCTTCTTAGAGTGTCTGCCCATTTGTTCGTGGTAGTAAAGACGGAGTTTGAGAAACAGGCATGTGTCGTGATATTTGGCTGCTGTTCTCACCACCTCACTCCCTCTCAAACTCTGTCCTCTTAAAAGTGAGGCAGGAACAATGAACTGGACCAGAGGGTGCCTCACAGTCCAGGAAGACATGCCCTCTCAAGAAATATGCTACCTTGGAGGTATTTCCTGCTCCCTTCCACGACCTGCCATTCCAATCTATTTGTTTCATATCCTGCTTTTTACAAGGCAGACTCTGCATGCCACACAACAGAAGGAAACAAATGCCCTTGTATAACTTACAGAATGGTAAGTGCACAACTCTTTGTAAGACTTCAGCCCAAGAGCTGCATCATATACAGTATTATACTTGGCCCCTGATCAGCACATTTAACAGGACAATGCATGGGGTACTTAAAAGGCAAGGCCACATTCTCCCAGAGGGCTTCTTATTGGCCCTGATTGATCTCCTCGCTTGTTTTGGCTGTTGTCATTAATGTTTGTATTTATAGCATGTTGCTGGTTTAATTTCCCCCCCAACGGCTTGTTTTATATGACACAATTTCACATGGGTTTCAAATATTTTTGCAACTAAAGTAATAATGGAGCACTATACCAGCTCACAAAAGCCAATCTTTTGTGTCGCATCAATTCCCTCCTCCCGTACCACAAGATTAGAAATAATTATTGCAATATGAATAGAAATATAATAAACCATTCTACAGTGGGGCAAACTGTGGCCAAGTGACCTGTGTGCTTGCCTGCTCAGGTGCTAACTATTGATGGGCAACATCAAGGCTCCTACTCTCCCAAGTACAACCTTCAGAGAGAGGATACATTTAAACAAAGTACTGTCCCTTGTAAAGTAGGGCAC